CATTCCATATGGACGCCAGTTCGAGTCCCGGCTGCTTTACTTCCAATCCAGCTCCCTGCTAATGCACCTAGGAAAGCAGTGGAAGACGGCCCATGTGCTTGGGCCCCTGCACCCACGTTAGAGACCTGGAGGAAGCTCCTGGCTCCTGGTCAGCTCAGCTCTGGCCATTGCAGTCATTTGGGGAGTGAACCAGCGGATGGAAGACCTCTCTCTCTCTCTGACTCTACCTAACTCTTTCAAATAAATATAATAAATCTTTAAAAAAAAATGTACATTTGCCCTTGGACCTGGGGACTCTTTATTTGAGAAACAGAGAGAGCTCCCACACAGCGACTCACTCCCCGAATGCCCACAGGCCAGGCTGGGCTGGGCCAAAGCCAGGATCCCGGAACTCCATGCAGGTCTCCCACACACGTAAGCCATCCAGAGACAGAACTAGCAGGCAGCCAGAGCCAGCAGCGGAGCTGGCCTGGCCAAGGCCAGGGAAAACCGCGAGAGACGGCTCAAGTGGAGACCAGGACGGAGCTGCAGGCTCCTGGCTTTGGTTTGTCTCATCTGCAGAGTGAAGCAGCAGACGGCGCTCTCTCTGGCTCTTCCTCTCTCTCTGTGACTCTGCCATTCAAGTAAGAATCCAACCCCAGCAACGCCATCGCTGCCAGCGTGTCCTAGCTGGACCAGGGTGCTGACCCAGGGCCTGCCACCCTCCTTGGAATGCAGTCACGCCTCGCTGCTCGCTTCCCACAGAGCCACCAAACCTCAAGGTATGAAGAGAGGCTCCGACACAAGAACGCCCGAGAAACAGACCTACGAGCCGGAGACGGGGCTGGCAGGCCGGGGACATGGGGACCCCTCCCCTCGCAAGCCCCGCAGGAGCTCCTGAGCAACCCTGGCATCCCTACAGCGTCTCATGCACGTGTCCCTGCTGCACGCATGTGGTGGACACACACGTGTCAATGCTAAGGACCAAGGTGGGGGGGCAAGCCGCTGGGCTGGGCGGGCCGGGGTCATCCCACCGACTGCTGCCACAGGTGTGGACGGAGCCTCCCCCTCCCCTGGCCAAGCAGCCTGCTGAGCACGAGGGAGCCGGACCTGGGGACAGGACTCCTGGAAGGCACCCAGCAGCCAGGCAGTCCCTCGTCTCTGCACTGGCGCTGGGCTCCGCTGGTCTGGACGTGCGGCCACACTGCCCCGCCCACCCACGCCCTCCTGGCTTCCCACTCATCCGCAGCAGGAACTGGCAGAGCCTGCAGATGGGCCAGAGTGGACCCCAGAGACACAGCAGCGGGCATGCGCTAGGTGGACAGACAGGAGCACCAGGCAGCAGCAGAAAACCACGCGACTGGACCGGCGCTACGCCACAGCCTGTGACAACAGCATCCCACGTGGTGTCAGTTCAAATCCCGGCTGCTCCACTTCCGATCCAGCTCCCTAATAGCCTGGGAAAGCAGCAGCGATGACCCAAGTACTTGGGCCCCTGCACCCACGTGGGAGACCCGGAGGAAGCTCCTGGCTTTGGCCTGGCCCAGCCTGGCCCACACAGCCACCTGGGGACTGAACCAGCAGTAGGAAGATCTGTGTGTGTGTGTGTCTCTCTCTCTGTAACTCTGCCTTTCAAATAAATAAGTCATTTTTTAAAAGGTTTTATTTATTTGAAAGGCAGAGTTACAGAGAGAAAGACAGAGAGAGGCCTTCCATCCGCTGGTTCACTCCCCAAATGGCCACAACAGCCAGGACCGGGCCAGCCCGAAACCAGCAGCCAGGAGCTTCCTCCAGGTCCCCCACGCTGGAGGAGGAGACCAAGCACTTGGGACATTTTCTGTTGCTTCTCCCAGGAGCACTAGCAGGGAGCTGGAGCGCAAATGCAGCAGCCGGGACTTGAACCAACACCCACGTGGGATGCCAGTGCCACAGGTGGTAGCTTAGCCTGCTGTGCCACAGCACCGGCCCCAGTGAATCTCTCAAAAAAAAAAAACTCCTTAACTCAGCAACCCTGGTTAAGAACCAGCCCCGGGGGACAAGACAGCAGGAGCGCAGGGACAGCAGGGGGCTGGGGGCGCTGTCACCCAAGAGGAGCGCCCACAGCGGTGTGGCCGTGGCCAGCAGAACCCAGAGAGCTTTCCACCACACAGCGGAGACACAGGGCGGGCACTGAGCGCAGAAGCTGTCACTGGGCTCCGGCGGCAGCCACGAGCCCCCCGCCTCGTGGGGAAAGGCTACAGGTGAGCAGGCCTACCCCAGGGGCCCACGCAGAACCTGACAGAGCTGCTCCCGGGGCCGCAGGCCAGCGTCCTGCCTCCACACCTGAGACACTGGAGCTGTCCCAAAGGACCAACCCCAACGGGTGGGCTCTCCACCTTGAGGGGGCAGGAGCACCCACCGCAGCGCTCACGTCCGCCCAGTCTCTGCCAGGCAAGCTCACAGCTGATCACAATGCGACAAACCACGGGCCACACGCCCAAACCAGCACCTTCTCGCTGCACTAGTGTTTTCTGGAGTTGTTGGGTTTTATTTTTGTTTTTTTGTTTGTTTGTTTTTTTGTTTTTTTGTTTTTGACAAGCAGAGTGGACAGTGAGAGAGAGAGACAGAGAGAAAGGTCTTCCTTTGCCGTTGGTTCACCCTCCAATGGCCACTGCAGTTGGCTGCGCGGCGCACCGTGCTGATCCAAAGCCAGGAGCCAGGTGCTTCTCCTGGTCTCCCATGGGGTGCAGGGCCCAAGCACTTGGGCCATCCTCCACTGCACTCCCTGGCCACAGCAGAGAGCTGGCCTGGAAGAGGGGCAACCGGGACAGAATCCGGTGCCCCGACCAGGACTAGAACCCGGGGTGCCGGCGCCGCAGGCGGAGGATTAGCCTAGTGAGCCGCGGCGCCAGCCTAGTGTTTTCTGTTTTTAAGAGTTTATGGGGGGGCCGGCGCTGTGACACAGTGGGTGAAAGCCATGGTCTGAGCGCCGGCATCCCATATGGGCACCATTTCAAGTCCCAGCTGCTCCTCTTCCGATCCAGCCCTGTGTCATGGCCTGGGAAAGCAGTAGAAGATGCCCAAGTGCTTGGGCCACTCCACCTGCGCGGGAGACCCGGATGGAGCTCCTGGCTCCTGGCCTCAGTGAACCAGAAGGTGGAAGATCTCTCTGTCTCTCCCTCTCTTTACTGTTTCATGTAATAAACTTTTAAAAAATAAAAACTCGAGTTTTAATGAATGCAACCTTAAATCTGATTATTTTTAAAAATTATTTATTTTCATTTACTCGAAAGGCAGAGTGACAGAGAGACTTCCCTTCTGCCGGCTCACTCCCCGGATGCCCGCAGCCCCAGGGTTTGGCCACAGCAAAGGCTGCTGGGATGCGCTAGCGTGAGCAGCTGGACCTGAGGCGGAGAAGCGGGGCTCCCCAGGACGGGCGGGCTGCAACACCACGCCCGCCCACACACAGCTCTGGGCTTCCAGCGAGCGAGGTGTCACCAGCGGCTTCCCGCGCACTTCACCGCACACAGACCCAGCCCGCGCCGCCGGCACCTGCACCGCCCCCGTCTCACGGCCCAGCAGCAGGCACAAGGCCAGGGCCCGGGGCCTGCTCGGCCTCTCCGGGGCAGTTCCTGCTGCTCACCCCACCTGGCCCTCCTCCGCGTCCTCGGTGCTGGCTCCATCCGCGCCCTCTCCCTCATCCTCATCCTCGCTGCTGTCGCTGCCAGAGTCTTCCAGGCCTGAGAACAGGCTCTCCTCGCTGTCCGAGAGGCCGGAGTCGCTGCCGTGGCCGGGGTCAGGGTCGCAGCCGGGAGAAGCCTGAGAGGAAGCACAGGTTGGTGGGCGTCTCCCCAGCAGGTGCCCCCTCAGGCCCCCACCTCCTCCGCAGCGGCCCGCCCACCTAGGCCCCCACTGACGGCATGGCCACCCGCTGTCACCTGCTGTTAACAGGGCCAGCTCTAGGCGCCAGCAAAACCGCGCTCCGACGCCGGTAACAGGAAGGTTGGGCCCTGCGGGAGAAACGGAAGCGGGCCCGGGAGCACCCAGGCTAGACGCCTCCTCCTCCAGGCAGCCCGGGACCAGCACCACGACGCCGCAGGGCGCCTGCCACCGCGGCACAACCGCGCACTCTTCCCGCAGGCAGCACAACCAGAGCCGAGCCCACCCCACGCCCGGGCACACGGGAAGGCGACCCCGCGGGAGCATCACCCGCGGCACGGCAGGAGTGCGGGGCCGGTGCGGGCAGCCCGGCCACGGCACTGCCCAAGACAAAGGGGGCGGCCTCTGCGCCCCAGGCCCGAGCGCGCCTCCCGCCACCCAGCGCGGGGGTCTACCGCACCGCCGAGGCCCCCGCCGCGGCGCAGGGAGCTCAGCTCTGCATCGCCCCCACGCATACAACGCGCCCCGCGCGGGACCCGGGGGTGAGCCGTGGGCGCAAGCACAAACCCTCCAGCGCCGGGACGCACAAATGGCGTCGAGGCGGGAGCCAGGGCCGCCTCCGGCCCCTTCGCGTCTCTTTCCTTCGCGGGCCAACGGCCCCAGCGCCCCCACTACGAGCCTCCTCCGCTGGGGAGGCCGCGGAGACGCCTGCAGCAGACGACACCCACATGCCCCAAGGCCGATGCCCAGCACACGGGAAATGCGCCCAGCCCCGCGAGCCCTCCGCCGACGCCAGCCCCAGCAGCCTCGCGCCACGTGCACGTCCAGCCGGAACCAGACGCACCCCCGCCGTCCCCCGGTCACCTCCTCCGGCTCGGGCTCCCGCTCCTGCCCGGGATCCAGCCGCCGCTTCCCCGGCCGCAGTGCCAGCGCCACGGCGCGCCCAGCACCCTGCACGCCCGCCATGCTCCGCCGGCCGCTTCCGGCAGAACCTCGCAGCCGCATGCGCCTGCGGGCCCGGGACCGCCCCGCCGGCCCTGATTGGTGATTGGTCGGAGAAGGGGCGGGGCCTCACTTGCGCAGGCGCGAGGCGCGCGCAGGTGCGCAGGCGCGTTCCGGGGAGGGGCGGGGCCGGCACGCACAGGCGCGCAGGCGCACGCCAGGGCCGCGGCGGGCGGGGCGCCGGCGGGAGCGCGCCCGGCGCAAGATGGCGGCGGCCATGCGAGGCCCTGGAGTTGCGTGTGCGCAGCGGGCGGCGGCGCGGCCCGGGAGACAGGCGCGGCGACGGCGCTAGCCCTGCCCTCGGCCCCTCCTCACGGCCACTCCCTCCGCCTTTCCCGGCGTCGCCCGACATGGACCTTTCCGTGGGCCCCGGCGCGGCGGGGCCCAGCAACGTCCCGGCCTTCCTGACCAAGCTGTGGACCCTCGTGAGCGACCCCGACACCGACGCGCTCATCTGCTGGAGCCCGGTGAGGGCCCGCGGGGGCGGGGAGCGCCGGGGGCCCGGGGCCTGGGCGGGGGCCGGGGAGGCGGGCCGGCGGGGCGGCCGGAGGAGGGCACGGCCCGGGCCCGGCGCTGCAGGCCCGCTCTCCGCCGCGCAGGCCGTGTGTGGGCCGAGGCCCGGGACCTCGGGGAGTGACCCCCGGCTCCTCTGCGCGCGTTCTCCGCCTCCTGCCTCCTGAGCCCGCAGGAAGTGTTCTTGGCCGGGCAGGGCCCGGACCTCGCGGGCCCTCTGAGGGGTCCTGCGCGCGGACGCTCCGGGAGCGGCCACGGCCCCCTTGCTGTCTTGCTTATTGGGTCGGGAGGCGGCTGGGGAAGCGGGTGCGCCACTCTGGGCTTGGAGTGGGAAAGGCCCCACCACCTGTGGCCCTGCCGGCGCGTGGTCCCTGCGGGCCACCGGGACCCGACACACAGCTGACGGCGACCCCAGACCAAGCCCTGGCTTCACAGCGGAAGGCGGCGCTGCCCCAGGCTGGCTGCCTGGGCACAGTGGTGCTCTGGTCACCTTGGCCCGGAGGACACCCACGCAGGGCCCGTAGCCTCTGCAGGGTCACTGCCCAGAGTCCAGCTCGCCAAGCGTTGGGGAGGGTCTGAAATCCACGCCCGAGGGCCTTCTGCTCCTCCCCGAAGAGCCGGGGCTGCCTGTCAGCAGGGGTGGGGTGGGTGGAGAGCGCGGCCTGTGTGGGGCCCGGTGTAGCCCCTGCACTTGCCTGCCCTGGCCTGAGATCCGGACTCCTGTCAGCCACAGGCGTGGGGAGGACGGGGCAGTGAGTCACCACCCAGAGGGTCTGTGGGGGCAGGGATGCTGGCTCCGCGCCCTCCCGGGCAAATCCTCCTCCAGTTCAGGCTGCCCGAGGCAGCCAGGGCCCCCCCCCCCCCCCACACACACCGGCCCAAACCCCTGGGCGGGTCTGCTGGGCGCAGCAGTCAGACTCTGGGGGGCCTGGGGGCAGGGGGACACGCAGGCCCCAGTAGCCAGGTTGCTGGGCGCGAGGTCGGGGTTCCAGGTGGGTCTGTGCACCTCGCCGCAGGCCTCCCACCGCTTCCCAAAGAGGCAGAGGGGGCCGAGGACCCGGGTGAACAGGTGGCTCCACACTTGGGGCATGAGGCCGGTCCCTCAGCCCCGCTGCCTGCTCCTGGTGCCGGGGCCTTGCAGGGCTGAGGGCCAGCTCCGAGCTCCCAGCCCAAATGTGCGTGAGCAGTGGAGGCCGGGCGCGGCCGGGACGGAGCCCACCTCTGACCGACCGGAGTCCTGAGAGGGTGGAAGGCAGTTTACAAAGCGGCCTGGGTGTGGGGTTGCAGACTTTGCCGGTGCAGGTGGGCGTGTCCTGACCCGGAGGCGGCAGCGCCCTGCAGGGCTGGCTGGGGAGGTTGCCAGGAGAGCGCTGCCCCTGCTGAGCACCTCCCTGGCCTCTTTGGGAGGAGGCTGTGCTGTCCGCCAGGTCTGCTGGGGGCAGGGCGACACCCAGATGAGGGGTTTGGGAAGCGAGCCCCCCCCCTGCTGTGCTGAGCCAGGTGGGCTGGTTCCCAGCAGGCCCTGAGGCACAGGGCGAGGGCGCCCCACAGTGGCCGTCACAGGCCCTCTCATGGGTCCCCTTCAGGTGGGCGGGGGGGCGGGGGGTGCTCAGCACGGTGAGGCGGGAGATGGTAAAGACAAGTCTGGGCTCTTGCCCAGGCCGGCCAGCGTCACTCCCGGGAGGGAGGCAGTAGGGCCCCAGCACACCTGCCTCACAGTCAGGATTCAGAGGGTCCCGCCCCCTGGAGCGGGCGGGTGGAGGGACGGATGGACGGACGAGACAGGTTCTGCACTGTCTTCCTGTCCCTGGGGCCAAGGCAGGTAGGGCTCAGTGAGGACAGGCAAGGGGGTTAGAGCAGCGCCGGTGTTTGCTCCCAGCCCCTCAGTGAGGGGAGGGGCCGGCAGACAGCTCCCACAAGGCCCACGGGCCCCAGAGCCTGCTCCTTGGATGCAGGCTTCTTGGAGGCCTGGCAGGAGGAGGAGCCTCATGGGGGACGGGACGTTGGCCCCCAAATGTGTGCTGGTGCCCAGCAGCCCTGCTTCTCCCTTCTGGCCTCGTTGGTCCTGGGTGAGCAGAGAATTGTCTGGGCTGCATGACCCCGCGGGCCCAGGGCAGAGGGTCCCAGCCAGCCTGGGCAGGGTGAGAGCCAAGCTAGGACTGGGGAGGGGCTCCAGGAGTCGGCCCTCCTCTCTGCCCCACAGCTCCTGGCTACCCCACGGCTCCCTCGCCCCACGCGAGCCATGCATGTGCATCTGGGCTTGGGAGCAGAGCACACGCTGCACGCAGGTCTTGGCTGGGCAGGGTGACTGACGGGCCTGCCGTGGCCAGGACACAGCCTGGGCCTGAGGAGGGGTCCCGTGAGAGGCAGTGGCCAGCAGCCCTTGTGGCTCGTGGAGCCCTTTGAGGAAGGAAGCCACACGTCCCTTCTCCACGTGCAGCGTGCATGCACACAGGCCCCCAGCTCAGTGAGACGCGGCGTGTCCCAGCTGCCCTTCCAGCCGGTCAGCAGGCTGGAGTTGGCTGTGGTCAGCAGAGGAGGGGCCTGGGTGGGGCGTCCCTGAATTAACCCTCGAGTGTCAGGGCGCGTCTCATGATGCTGGGATGTTAGGAATCAGCGGGGCCGCAGCCAGCCACGTTGTCGCCCTTGGGAAGGCCCTCTTCAGAGTCCCGGGCAGAAAGGGGGGGCCAGGCCGAGCCCCGGCTTGGAGGGAATCAGCCGCTGGGGCTGTGCCAGGCTGGTGTGCACCTGGGAAGCCAGAGCGGGAGCAGCGTGACAGGAGGCGGCTGTGAGGGCCCGGAAGAACTCCTGCGCCCAGAGAGACCCGTCCGCAGCGGGAGACCCGGACTGGCCGGAAGGGCGTGAGTGAGGGTGGAGAGTGCGCTGTGCGCTGCAGGACGTAGAGCAGGAACAGGAGACGGGCGGAAAGTCGCGCGCTGGAGCGCGTCCCCAGCAGAGTGGCGAGTTCTGCGAGTGGACGGCCCCTCGAGGAGGCGTGGGGCCAGCGGACTTGCTCCCAGGGAGCGATGGTGTGCGTGGCAGCTGCCTGTGCCGTCCACTTCAGCTCCGTGCTCTGCCTCCTGAAAACACGGATGACCGCGCTCATCACGAGAAAACATCAACAAGTCCAGACTGAAGGGCAGCCTGCAGGATAACTGACCAGCCCCCTCGGAGCCGTGAGGCTCCCTGAAAGCTGGCAGGGTCTGAAAGCACGTGGAGTGGACACGGGAGATCACAGCAGGGGCCTGCAGGACTCCAGGTGCTGTCCTCCCAGCTTTTCTGGAATCTTGCACAGGCTGTGCCAGTCCCTGGAGTGATCAGCAGAGCCTCACCGCACTGTGACCCAGGAGAGAGGGAGACGGGAGCCTCACCTCACTGTGACCCAGAAGAGAGGGAGACGGGGGCCTCACCTCACCCTGGACCCAGGAGAGAGGGAGACGGGGGCCTCACCTCACTGTGACCCAGGAGAGAGGGAGACGGGGGCCTCACCTCACCCTGGACCCAGGAGAGAGGGAGACGGGGGCCTCACCTCACTGTGACCCAGGAGAGAGGGAGACGGGGGCCGCACCTCACTGTGACCCAGGAGAGAGGGAGACGGGGGCCTCACCTCACCCTGGACCCAGGAGAGAGGGAGACGGGGGCCTCACCTCACTGTGACCCAGGAGAGAGGGAGACGGGGCCTCACCTCACTGACCCAGGAGAGAGGGAGACGGGGGCCTCACCTCACCCTGGACCCAGGAGAGAGGGAGACGGGGGCCGCACCTCACCCTGGACCCAGGAGAGAGGGAGACGGGGGCCTCACCTCACTGTGACCCAGGAGAGAGGGAGACGGGGGCCTCACCTCACCCTGGACCCAGGAGAGAGGGAGACGGGGGCCGCACCTCACCCTGGACCCCGGAGAGAGGGAGACGGGGGCCTCACCTCACCCTGGACCCAGGAGAGAGGGAGACGGGGGCCGCACCTCACCCTGGACCCAGGAGAGAGGGAGACGGGGGGGCCGCACCTCACCCTGGACCCAGGAGAGATGGAGACGGGGGCCGCACCTCACCCTGGAACCCCGGAGAGAGGGAGACGGGGGCCTCACCTCACTGTGACCCAGGAGAGAGGTAGACGGGGGCCGCACCTCACCCTGGACCCAGGAGAGAGGGAGACGGGGCCGACCTCACCCTGGACCCCGGAGAGAGGGAGACGGGGGCCTCACCCTCACCCTGGACCCAGGAGAGAGGGAGACGGGGGCCGCACCTCACCCTGGACCCAGGAGAGAGGGGAGCCGGGGGCCGCACCTCACCCTGGACCCCGGAGAGGAGGGAGACGGGGGCCTCACCTCACCCTGGACCCAGGAGAGAGGGAGACGGTGGCCAGCACCTCACCCTGGACCCCGGAGAGAGGGAGACGGGGGCCTCACCTCACCCTGGACCAGGAGGAGAGGGAGAGACGGGGGCCGCACCTCACCCTGGACCCAGGAGAGAGGGAGACGGGGGCCGCACCTCACCCTGGACCCCGGAGAGAGGGAGACGGGGGCCTCACCTCACCCTGGGACCCAGGAGAGAGGGAGACGGGGGCCGCACCTCACCCTGGACCCAGGAGAGAGGGAGACGGGGGCCGCACCTCACCCTGGACCCAGGAGAGAGGGAGACGGGGGCCGCACCTCACCCTGGACCCAGGAGAGAGGGAGACGGGGGCCTCACCTCACCCTGGACCCAGGAGAGAGGGAGACGGGGGCCGCACCTCACCCTGGACCCAGGAGAGAGGGAGACGGGGGCCGCACCTCACCCTGGACCCAGGAGAGAGGGAGACGGGGGCCGCACCTCACCCTGGACCCAGGAGAGAGGGAGACGGGGGCCGCACCTCACCCTGGACCCAGGAGAGAGGGAGACGGGGGCCGCACCTCACCCTGGACCCCGGAGAGAGGGAGACGGGGGCCTCACCTCACCCTGGACCCAGGAGAGAGGGAGACGGGGGCCGCACCTCACCCTGGACCCAGGAGAGAGGGAGACGGGGGCCGCACCTCACCCTGGACCCCGGAGAGAGGAGACGGGGGCCGCACCTCACCCTGGACCCCGGAGAGAGGGAGACGGGGGCCTCACCTCACTGTGACCCAGGAGAGAGGGAGACGGGGGCCGCACCTCACCCTGGACCCCAGGAGAGAGGGAGACGGGGGCCGCACCTCACCCTGGACCCCGGAGAGAGGGAGACGGGGGCCGCACCTCACCCTGGACCAGGAGAGAGGGAGACGGGGGCCGCACCTCACCCTGGACCCCGGAGAGAGGGAGACGGGGGCCTCACCTCACTGTGACCCAGGAGAGAGGGAGACGGGGGCCGCACCTCACCCTGGACCCAGGAGAGAGGGAGACGGGGGCCGCACCTCACCCTGGACCCCCGGAGAGAGGGAGACGGGGGCCTCACCTCACCCTGGACCCAGGAGAGAGGGAGACGGGGGCCGCACCTCACCCTGGACCCAGGAGAGAGGGAGACGGGGGCCGCACCTCACCCTGGACCCCGGAGAGAGGGAGACGGGGGCCTCACCTCACCCTGGACCCAGGAGAGAGGGAGACGGGGGCCGCACCTCACCCTGGACCCCGGAGAGAGGGAGACGGGGGCCTCACCTCACCCTGGACCCAGGAGAGAGGGAGACGGGGGCCGCACCTCACCCTGGACCCAGGAGAGAGGGAGACGGGGGCCGCACCTCACCCTGGACCCCGGAGAGAGGGAGACGGGGGCCTCACCTCACCCTGGACCCAGGAGAGAGGGAGACGGGGGCCGCACCTCACCCTGGACCCAGGAGAGAGGGAGACGGGGGCCGCACCTCACCCTGGACCCCGGAGAGAGGGAGACGGGGGCCGCACCTCACCCTGGACCCAGGAGAGAGGGAGACGGGGGCCGCACCTCACCCTGGACCAGGAGAGAGGGAGACGGGGGCCGCACCTCACCCTGGACCCCGGAGAGAGGGAGACGGGGGCCTCACCTCACCCTGGACCCAGGAGAGAGGGAGACGGGGGCCGCACCTCACCCTGGACCCAGGAGAGAGGGAGACGGGGGCCGCACCTCACCCTGGACCCCGGAGAGAGGGAGACGGGGGCCGCACCTCACCCTGGACCCCGGAGAGAGGGAGACGGGGGCCTCACCTCACTGTGACCCAGGAGAGAGGGAGACGGGGGCCTCACCTCACCCTGGACCCAGGAGAGAGGGAGACGGGGGCCTCACCTCACCCTGGACCCAGGAGAGAGGGAGACGGGGGCCTCACCTCACCCTGGACCCAGGAGAGAGGGAGACGGGGGCCTCACCTCACCCTGGACCCAGGAGAGAGGGAGACGGGGGCCTCACCTCACCCTGGACCCAGGAGAGAGGGAGACGGGGGCCTCACCTCACTGTGACCCAGGAGAGAGGGAGACGGGGGTGCATAGAAGTCATGGGGGGTGGTGACGCCACCTGCAATGCCAGCATCCCACATGGGTGCCAGTTCACATCCCGGCTGCTCCTCTTCCCATCCAGCTCCCTACTGATGTCTGGGAAAACAGCTGGAGATGGCCCAAGTGCTTGGGCCCCTGCACCTACGTGGGAGACCTGGAAGAAGCTCCTGGCTCCTGGTTTCACCCTGCCCCAGCTCCGGCCATTACAGCCATTTGGAGATGAAGCAGCGGATGGAAGATCCCTCTCTCCATCTCTGTCTCTCTCTGTAACTGCCTTTCAGACAGATAAATGAGTCTTATTTTAGGAAAAAAAGATGACAAAAAGTTTCCCCAAACTTTTGAAAAGCTGCCACCCCGTACATCTGTGAATATGGATGAGCGTCAAGCAGAATAAGAACAGAGAAAACCAAGCCCAGGCACATCACAGTCGAGTGTCTGAAAAGACCAATGAGGAGAAAAACTAAAACAGCCAGAAAAAAAGGAAGAACTGCCCGCGGCAGGCGCCACACCCGCGCAGAGGCGGCAGTGCCGGCGTCCACGCAGGGAGCTGGCCACATTGCCCACAGCTCACACCTAGCCGCGGCACAGAACTGAAGGCTTCCCCAGGACTGGACGGAGGGCCGGCTGGTCACGAACGGGAGGCGTGGGCAGTCCCAGAGGCCCGCCCAGCCTCTCCATTAAACTTTGCTTCCATGCTTAACAATAAGAAACAACAAGTCCCAGAGGGTCTCTGAAAAGCAGAGGCCGTAAGAGAAGATCCACGGATAAAGCGGGTTGTGTTTCTGTGAACCAGCACCGAGCTACTGAAAGTGCAGGCAGGAAGTCATCCGCCGCCCTGTGCCAGCAGCCTCCAAGCTGGACTGCTTAGAGCCACAGACATCTGTTATCTCGGGTTCTTAGAGTCCTGGGCTGCTTGTGGCTCAAGGTTTCACACAAAGTTGGCACCATCTTCAGCAAGAAGGGCTGCCTCGGGGCTCGCTCCACAGGCTGCCGGCCAGCCCAGTTCTTCCCTGGCCGCTGGCCAGGAGCTCCGCTTCTTCCTGCGTGGGCCCTGGAGCTGCCGTGGCAGCAGCCTCTGCGAGCCTGCCTCTAGGGCGCGGCGGGCTGCCCCGCGGAGGGAGCAGCGGCCCAGAGGCCATCTGTGGGCTGCCTGGCAGGAAGCCTTTACCCGCTTCACACGCCGAAGACGCAATTGCAGACAGTGTCGGAAGACTTACAGTGTGACTGCAAGCCGCAGTGGTATACTGTGCCGGCAGGACAGCGGTGCTGGCCAAGTGTGGACACACCAGTAACTGGAAGAGGCACGAGGCAGACTCGGACATCGGAGCGCCTCTGATTTTCCACAAAGGGGCCAGGGTCACAGTGTGCAGGGCAGCGTCAACAGTGTGTGGAGGACAGTGTCACGGTGTACGGGGAGCACTGTACTCAAGCACAGGTGGAGGGCGGCGGCGCGGTGTGAGGGGAGCGGCGTCATGGCGTGAGGGGAGCGGCGGTGCGGTGTGTGGGCGCGGTGTAGAGAACAGTGGCTCGCTGTGCGGGCGCCGTGTGTCAGGCCCAGGTGCAGGACTGGGTGGCAGAGCTCGCCTCGCACCTCGGGCCGGGCGCGGGCTGGAATGGAGCCGAGCTCTAGGCTGGAGAACACCTTTTGCCCTTGAGTGACTTGGGAACCAGGAAGCATGAAGTAGGGAAAGTGAGGACCACTTGCAGCTTGTAAGGCAGCCTCTTCTTTCTTTTTTTTTTTTTTAAAGGAAAATATTTTTTACTTTTCAAAGGCCCACAACACCCGAGGCTGGGCACGGCCAAAGCCCACGTCTGGAGCTCCGTGTGGGTTTCCCACGCGGCTGGCAGGCACCCAGCTGCTTGCCAGCGCTGCTGTGTGCGTTAGCAGGAATCCGGGGTGGGAACAGAGCCGCGACTCAGACCAGAGGCTCCCATCGTGGGTGCCCCAGGCAGCATCTGCAACAGCCGTGCCAGTCAGCTGCCCCGAGGCACCCCGAGAAGACCCACAGGCAGCGTGGCGGTGGGCGTTAGGGAGAGGCTGAACCTCGCACACCAGGCGTGGGCGGTGACTGCACCCCGACCTGTTACTGAGTGCAGGTGGGCCAGCCGTGTTGGGAAGGTTTGCTGGTTTCCTGTGGAAGTTGGGCAGGCCTTTACACATGGCCCAGCGATTAGCCGGCAAGTCTTGGTGGAGATAAGTGGGGAAAACCGTGTCCTTTCAGAGGCCACGCGGAAACGGGCGTGACACTGCTCACAGCAGCCAGTGGGGATGCCCGCCAAGACCCATCCACTGGTGAGTGGCCGGTCAACAGCAAGGCAGTGGTGTGCGGGCATCTGGGCAGTGGGCAGTGAGTGCAGGCATCTGGGCGGTGGGCGGTGATGTCTGGGCGGTGGGCGGTGATGTCTGGGCGGTGGGCGGTGAGTACGGGCGTCTGGGTGGTGGGCGGTGATGTCTGGGCGGTGGGCGGTGATGTCTGGGCGGTGGGCGGTGATGTCTGGGCGGTGGGAGTGATGTCTGGGCGGTGGGCGGTGATGTCTGGGCGGTGGGCGGTGATGTCTGGGCGGTGGGCAGTGGGAGTGATGTCTGGGCGGTGGGCGGTGGTGTCTGGGCGGTGGGCGGTGATGTCTGGGCGGTGGGAGTGATGTCTGGGCGGTGGGAGTGATGTCTGGGCGGTGGGCGGTAGTGTCTGGGCGGTGGGCGGTGGGAGTGATGTCTGGGCGGTGGGCGGTGGGAGTGATGTCTGGGCGGTGGGCGGTGATGTCTGGGCGGTGGGCGGTGATGTCTGGGCAGTGGGCGGTGATGTCTGGGCAGTGGGCAGTGAGTGCGGGCGGCGGGGCAGCAAGAGCAGCGGAGCAGACGCATCCCGGGTCGGTGCTAGCCTGGGTCCCAGCTGCACTTGCGTACCCATACCCCGTAGCAGGGGTGCCCGCTAATGGGCACCCCGGGAATGGCCCACGCACTTGAGTTCCAGGCTCCTGATTTTGAAAGAGGGGCCAGCGGTGTGGGTGGAAGGTTAAGCCTCCACCTGCAGTGCCAGCCTCCCATGGTCCAGCGCCCTGCTAGATCACCTGGGAAAGCAGGAGATGCCCAAGTGCTTGGGCCCTGCACCCACACGGGAGACCCTGAGGAAGCTCCTGGCTCTGGCCCTGCCCAGCCCTAGCTGTTGTAGTCATTTGGAGAGTAAACCAGCAGTCAGAAGATCCCTCCCTCCCTCTCAAATAAATACATATTTAAAAATAAAGAGGCCGGCACCGCGGCTCACTAGGCTAATCCTCCGCCTTGCAGCGCCGGCACACCAGGTTCTAGTCCCGGTCGGGGTTCCGGATTCTGTCCCGGTTGCCCCTCTTCCAGGCCAGCTCTCTGCTGTGGCCCGGGAGTGCAGTGGAGGATGGTCCAAGTGCTTGGGTCCTGCACCCCATGGGAGACCAGGATAAGTACCTGGCTCCTGCCTTCGGATCAGCACAGTGCGCCAGCTGCAGCGGCCATTGGGGGATGAACCAACAGCAAAGAAAGACCTTTCTCTCTGTCTCTTTCTCTCTCACTGTCCACTCTGCCTGTCAAAAAAATAAATAAATAAAAATAGATAAATAGAAACAACCATTCTTTTAAAAGAAGGAAGGAAGAAACAAGACTTGGGGAAGGATGAGTTCAAGGACCCATGCCATCTCCCCCGTTCCTGCTGGCTCAGAACTGCTGCGGCCCCTCTGCGTAGACTGCGATCCTGGCACCGCCTCGCCTCAGCCCTGCAGCCTCGTGCCCTCCCCACACCCGATGTCTGGGTTTTTTCCAGAATGCACTTTAAAAAAAAAAAAGTTTCCTTATTTTCATCTACTTGGAAGGTACAGCAGTAGAGAGAGAGAGCTTCTCTCCACCAGTTTACTGCCCAAATGCCCCCAACAGCCGGGGCTGAGCCAGACGAAGCCAGGAGCCCAGAGCTCCATCCGGGTCTCCCCCGTGAGTGGCAGCGCGCCCAGGTGCGTTAGGAAGCTGCGTGGAACTGGAGCTGGTGCCCGGAGGCGGGCTTCACCTCTCAGGTCCTGGGCCCAAGCCCACGTCAGCCTCCCGTCCCCGCCGTCTCCTGAGGCTCTGTCCAGCTCTGGGCCGGGTGGACAGCCCGGCTGGAGGAGGCAGCGGGCCCAGAGCCTCTCTCCTCGTGTCAGGCTCACGGCTGTGAGGGTTCTGTGAAGTAGTGCGATGGGTCACCGGATTCCAGGCATCGCTCTGAGTTAGAGCACAGAGCCCCAGGGACAGAGGGAAGGGGTGCAGTCACCCGCCGAGCAGAGGAGGGAGCTTCAGGCTGCCGCTGCTCCGTGACGTCCTCGGGCCCGAGTCTTGGGCAGGAGCCCTTCATCTGCAGGTCTGCAGGATGCCGTGGGGGGCCCCAGTGCACCCCCGCTGTGGCCGGAGACTGCGTCTGCACGCATGTGGATTCGCACCCTAGGTGAAGTGGGCCAGGTCCTCGCAAGCCAGCTGCCCAGCGCCCACGACGCTTAAACGGGTTAGGTCCCTGGTATGAGCCTCACGTCAAGGAAATCCTCAGCCCCAGCAGGCTCTGCTGGCAGATCCGCTCCCCAGGTGGCCCGGGCCAGAGCCAGGAGCCTGTCCCCCACTCTGCCAGGCAAGTCAGCAGGGCGCTGGGCCCTGCATGGAGCGGCCGGGACTTGGCCCCGCGCTTCTGTGGGTGCAGTGTCCCAGGTGGCAGCTTAGCCCGCTGCACCAAGCGCCAGCTCCTGCGTGGGGGACTTTCTGTTCTGCTTTTCTTTTTTTTAAGATTTATTTTTTATTTACTTGAGAGCCACAGAGAGAGAGAGAGAGGTCTTCCATCTGCTGGTTCACTCCTCAGATGGCCGCCACAGCCAGAGCTGCAAGCCAAGAGCTTCTTCCAGGTCTCCCGCATGGGTGCCGGGGCTCAAGGACTTGGGCCATCCTCTACTGCTTTCCCAGCTGGACCGGAGGTGGAGCAGCTGGGACCTGAGCCGACGCCCATACGGGATGCCGGCACTGCAGGCGGCGGCTCTACCCACCCCTTCTCGCTTGCTTGCTTGCTGGAAACTGGCTGTTGCTGGGCCTGATGGGGCGGCTCTGGAGATGAGACAGTGAGACATCCTCCCTGGAGTTGTGGTCGCTGATTCTGTGCAGCCCCGCGCTGCGTCCTGTGGCCCAGGCAGGGTCTGAGGAAGGGGCTTCGCCTCTCACAGCTCTGATCATCTGACCTCCTCGGCTCCCTTGTAGGAGAGGGCGTGGTCTCGGTGCTGGGGCCCGCCAGCCTCGGGCTTTCCTGGGAGCCTCTCCACACCTCCTTCCCTGCCTGCCTCCTCGGAGCCCGCAAGGTTTCCAGTGCACGCCCTGGGTACCTGCCCTGGCGTCCAGGCCCCCGTAGGTGTCTGGAGCCTCTCCTTGTCTCCTGCCTGCCTCCTCTGCTTGGTGCTCTGTCTCCCCCAGCAAGCTTTGTTGACAGCTGCCTCTGGGGGCAGGCGTGCGGCCTAGAGGCTCAGACACCTCCATCCCATGGCAGAGGCTCTGGCGCCTGACCCCAGCTTCCTGCTAGCGTGAACGGTGGGAGGCCACTGCCCACCTGGGAGACCTGGCTTGAGCTCCTGTCACCTGGTCTCCGCCAGCTCGCGGCAAGCATTTGGGGGTGAATCAGCAGATGGGACAGCTGTCTCTGCCTCTGTCGTCTGGATGCTGCCGTAGACCTGCCCTGGGGGAGCCCCTGTGCAATGGGACAGGCAGCAGAGACGCGCCCCAGCCCCACCTGCCATGCCCAGCTGCAGGGGTGGAGGGAGGCTCGCTGCTGTCGCTGGGGAAGAAGTGTCCCCTCCGCAAGTTGGATTCTGGGGGCGTCGGCCGCGGGGCTCTCCCTGCTGCTTCGGGTCCCTTCCTCCGTCTCTTGCACGCCCCTTGCCGTGTCGTTTTCCTTCTCTCTGGAGTTCAAAAGCAGCTCCAGTTCCTGTCCAGAACCACAGGCCCTTGGTTCTTCCCGGTCCCTGCCTGCTCCTGCTCCCCACTGTGTGGACTCTGCCCCGTCGGAGCCCCCACAGCTGCTCCCAGCACAGACGCTGTGCCAGACCTTCCTCCTGGTGCCTGGGCTGCGCTCAGGAGGACAGAGGGGCAGCGCACCCCGCCACCGTCTGTGCCAGGGGCTGGGGCTGCGTTCCCTCCCCTCCGACGGGAATCGGGCTTGCTCAGTGCCGGCCCCCAGCACGTGGGCCTGAAGGTGTGGCTCTTCTCATCCCAGGTGGGGCCTGGGTGAGGGCCCCGTTTCTGGCCACACGGCCCGGTGCCTCACATCATGGGGCATGTACAGTGCATATGTGTCTGCCGGTCCCCGGGAGACGGTTCCTCCTCCTGCCGTACCCCTCCCCCCGAGCCCCTCCATAGCCCCACCCCATGGGGTGGGAGGGCGCATCACAGAGCTGGCGGGGAAGGGCTGCAGCCATGCTGCCTGGCCCATGCTGCCACGTGTGACCACCCCGTGTCTCCTGCCAGAGCGGCAACAGCTTCCACGTGTTCGACCAGGGCCAGTTTGCCAAGGAGGTGCTGCCCAAGTACTTCAAGCACAGCAACATGGCCAGCTTCGTGCGGCAGCTCAACATGTGTGAGTGCCTGCCGGGCCCCGGCCAAAGGACGGACTCTGGGTTGACCAGTGCAGGATGTGAAGGCCAGCAGCCCGGGCTGGGGGGGAGGTCCCTTCCTGGGGGAAGGGTCCTTGTGGGAGGGGCCGGAGCCAGGAGCTGGGAGACCACAGGGTGCCCCCTAGCCAAGACCGCCAGGCTGCGCCCCAGTCTGGCCTATGGCCTCAGGCAGACCTGCTGCCGCCTCCTGTGCAGACGGCTTCCGGAAGGTGGTGCGCATCGAGCAGGGCGGCCTGGTCAAGCCCGAGAGGGACGACACCGAGTTCCAGCACCCGTGCTTCCTGCGTGGCCAGGAGCAGCTGCTCGAGAACATCAAGAGGAAAGTGACCAGCGTGAGTCACTCCCGCGCGGCCCGCACCCCCCCCTGGGCCCGGGCCTTCCCCTCTCCCCGGGGACCTGGCTGGGGCCGCCTGTGACGCCCCCTCCCCCGGGACCCAGGCCTCCACCCTGAAGAGCGAGGACATCAAGGTGCGTCAGGACAGCGTCACGAAGCTGCTGACGGACGTGCAGCTCATGAAGGGGCGGCAGGAGTGCATGGACTCCAAGCTCCTGGCCATGAAGCAGTAGGTCGCCACGTGCTGCGGGAGCGGCGGGTGGGAAGAGGGGGTCCCGTGCCGGGGTCCACGTGTCCGCCCCACCCGCACCCTCCATGCAGAACCCTCTTCACTGCCCAGGAGGGACAGCCACCTGCTCCTGGCCGCCCTGGGGCACTCCCAGCGCACCTGCAGTGCCTCCACCGCAGGCCTAAGGCAGGGAACTCTGCCCCTGCCGGGGGTCCGGTCACTCCGGTTACGGTTGTGGCCCCCTCCTCAACAAGGACCCCAGAGTCCTGGGAAAGCCCTAGCTGGGGGCCTGCCACACAGGTTGCACCTGGGACACTGAGGCAAGGCCACCTAGGACGACGGCCAGCGTGGGTCTCGTCTCATCCGCCTCTATCCAGCAGCTCCCTGGTGCGAGTTAAGGAGGGCCCAAGAGCGGGGGCGCCCCAGCACAGGGCAGCGGTGGAGCTCCCTGTAGGCAGTGTGGAGGGGCCCCGGGCTCCAGGGCCCCACATTTGGGCCCAGCAGAAGCGACTAACTTTGTGTTACCTGGAGATAGCCCAGGTGCACTTGACCTTCCAGGTCCCAGACACATCTCTGGAGGCCCTGAGGGCAGGAGTGCACCCAGCCCGCTCACCTGCCATGTCTCGTGGCAGCTCTTCCCTGGCCCACGTGGCCACTGGGCCACTCCTGGGCCTCAGGTGCCGGGTGTTCCTGGAACCTGGCCCCCAGCCCTTCTGGGGGCAGGATTGGTGCCAGGTGCCTGGGGTACACTTGTGCACTTGAGTGCTGTGGAGCAGGGCGGGTGGTACAGGCCCCGTGGGCTCCCCACACCGGTGACACAGCCCTGTGTGTTGCAGCGAGAACGAGGCCCTGTGGCGGGAGGTGGCCAGCCTGCGGCAGAAGCACGCCCAGCAGCAGAAAGTTGTCAACAAGGTGGGGGCAGGGCCAGCAGCTCCCCTCCCCCCCCATGGTCCTCCCACAGACCAGGCTGACGGAGCCCTCCCCCCTACAGCTCATTCAGTTCCTGATCTCGCTGGTGCAGTCCAACCGGATCCTGGGGGTGAAGAGAAAGATGTGAGACGCTGGGGTCCCTGCCCCCCGCACTCCGGCCCTGGGCCACTCAAGGCCTCGGGAGGCAGCTAACCCCACCCCTTCCCTGCAGCCCGCTGATGCTGAATGACGGCAGCTCTGCACATTCCATGCCCAAGTACGGCCGGCAGTACTCCCTGGAGCACGTCCCCGGTGCCGGCCCCTATGCGGTGAGCGCCGGGGGCCTGGCGACACGGCCAGGTGGGATGGGTGCCGCCAGGGGACGTGTGACGTGCAGCCGCCGGCTTCTGGTTGCAGGCCCCGGCCCCGGCCTACAGCGGCTCCAGCCTCTACGCGGCAGACGCCGTCGCCAGCTCCGGGCCCATCATCTCCGACATCACTGAGCTGGCCCCCTCCAGCCCCCTGGGCTCCTCAGGCGTGAGCGCAGATGAGAGGTGGGGCTCTGTGGGCCCAAGGCAGGGCTGTGGGGAGGTGGGACCAGCAGGGCTCCTGCTGACGCGGCGCCACCCCACCGTCCAGGCCTCTATCCAGCAGCTCCCTGGTGCGAGTTAAGGAGGAGCCCCCGAGCCCACCTCGGAGCCCTCGGGTGGAGGAGGCGAGTCCCGGGTGCCCGTCGTCTGTGGACACCCCCTTGTCCCCGACCACCTTCATCGACTCCATCCTGCGGGAGAGCGAACCCGCCCCCACAGCCGCCTCAGCCTCAGCCCTCCCGGACGCAGGGGGTCGCCCCCCCTCGCCCTCACCCCGCTCCGCCCCCGAGAAGTGCCTCAGCGTAGCCTGCCTGGACAAGTGAGTGCCACTCCCACCCCACTCCTGGAGGGCTGGGCCCAGGGTGGGCAACGAGGCTGGACTCGCGGCTGAGCCTCAGGCTTCCAGGGGCGAGAGGGACAGGCCTGGCTCCCACCAGACTTCGGGCTGGGGGAGGTTGGGGGGCCCGCACAGCTCCCAGAGCCGCTGGCACCGCAGGGCACCCCTGGCAGAGCACCCTGGGAGCACCTGCTCTCCAGCTCTTTGCCCCGCCCCGCCCCAGCCGCGGAGTGCGAGGACCGCGGGCGCAGCCTGCCGGCCCCCGCCTGCAATGGGGGCTCTTGTCTTTGTATCTTGCAGTGTGGCTCGCGCTCCACAGATGTCTGGGGTCGCCCGCCTCTTCCCCTGCCCCTCCTCCTCCTCTCTGCATGGCCGAGTCCAGCCAGGGTTAGCGCTGCCCCCTCTGGGGAGGGAGGAGGGCTCCGCCAGAGCTCGGGCCCCTCCCCCAGCCTGGGTGCGGCACTAGGCCCTGCCTGGTGCGGGGGGCCGCCCCGGCGCTGCATCTTCACTGTCTTGGACCGGGGTTGGGCCCCAGCCTGGCCCTGTGGCTGGCGAAAGCAGGGTGCAGGCTTCTGTGCTGGCCCAGCCAGCCCACCCATGCCACAGGGACCCAGGGCTTCCTCAGCCACGGCCTCGCAGCAACTCTGGGGTGGAGCCGACACGGCCCCACGGCCCCACAGGTCCCTCCTCATCACCTTCCAAACGCAGTGGTGACACCGTCGGCCTGATAACACTCTTGAGCTACCATCACACTTCTAGACAAGACACCCCCCAGCCAGCTACTGTCTCGGCCCAGCCCAAGTCTCCCATCTCCTAGCTCTCCGCGCCCCCACCCAGCCTCTGCTGGGCACCCTGCGGGGGTGTGGTCATGGGGAGCCCCTCTCCCCCAGGAGCACATTTGGGCAGGGAAGCTGGGGCGCTGGTTCACCTGCCCACTCACCCCGGGCCAGGAACGAGCTCAGTGACCACTTGGATGCCATGGACTCCAATCTGGATAACCTGCAGACCATGCTAACCAGTCACGGCTTCAGCGTGGACACCAGCGCCCTGCTGGACGTGAGTCCTGCCCCACCCCGCCCCCTGCCCCCTCCCCAGCTGGGCCCTGACTTCCCTCCCTCCTCCCGCAGCTGTTCAGCCCCTCGGTGACGCTGCCTGACATGAACCTGCCTGACCTTGACAACAGCCTGGCCAGTGTGCGTAGGCGGGCAGGAGGGAGGGGGCAGGTGCAAGAACCAGCAGGGACCCTCACAATGTCCCTCCCACAACACCCCATCCCCCCACAGATCCAGGAGCTCCTGTCTCCCCAGGAGCCCCCCAGGCCTCTCGAGGCAGAGAACAGCAGCCCGGACTCAGGTGAGCTGAGACTCGGCTCCACACCAACCGCAGCCCCCATCCCTGCCCCCTGCCCCCTGCCCCCTGCCCACCACCACCCTGCCTTGTCCCCCACACAGGAAAGCAGCTGGTCCACTACACAGCGCAGCCCCTGCTCCTGCTGGACCCGGACGCCGTGGACACAGGGAGCAGCGAGCTGCCCGTGCTCTTCGAGCTGGGGGAAGGCTCCTACTTCTCCGAAGGGGACGACTACTCAGACGACCCCACCATATCCCTGCTGACAGGCTCCGAGCCCCCCAAAGCCAAGGACCCTGCCGTCTCCTAGAGGCCCTGGGGGGAGCTGGGCCACCCAGGGCCTGCCCACCGCCACCCCCAGTGCAGGGCTGGGCTCGGGGCAGCTGGACAGGCGCTTGGGGTGGGCAGTGCCTCCAGGCAGGAGCCAGAGTTGCCTTTGCCCCTTCCCGGCGTCCAGGGGTTTGGCTGGAGCTTTACAGCCAACTTGGACTGGCCTGCGGCTTGCTCAGAGGTGTATTTTGGTTTTTACATGAGGGTACCCCTCCCCTTCCAGACACAGACGCACAGGTGGACAGACGGAGACGAGACAGGCAGCGATGCTGTATAAATGGACGGGCTCTAGGCTGCAGCCTCTGTGTGCTTCCTGCCCCTGGTGGCGAGGCGGGCGGGCTACAGTGAGGACGGGCATGGGAGGGCCTTCTCGCATGTGTCAGGTGGGCACCCACGGCGCTGCTCCAGAGCCCGGGGCGAGGCCCCAGCTCCCCGTCAGGCTGTGCGCAGGGGAGTTGGGTCTGGGAGCCCCACAGCTGCTCCCATCCTGGCAGGCCCAGGACACTGGCCACTGGGAGATGCCGCCTCCCCCAGGACAGCAGAGGTGTGGGCCGTGCAGCGGGACTGCCCACCACCAAGATGGCTGCACAGCAATCAGAAACCCACCGTGCCCAGGGAAGGCAGGAATGGGCCCCACAGCCACCCCTACCACCAAGGCCTCTGCCACAACATGGCTTCCTCTGCGGCCCACAGGGCCCAGGGCCATGGTGGCGCCTCAGGACCAATCACACAGTGCTGCTGGGCCATGGGCAAGCCTACAGCTCCTGGGCTGCCTGCTTGAGGCCCCGTCCCAAGACCTCTGCCAGGTGAAAGCAGCCTCAGGCCTGCAGGGCCCCACCCTGGTAGGCCAGTGCCGCCCACGCCCATGTGGACACTCAAGGTGGCTGCAGCGGGAAGTGGGACCCCCCTCCCTCTGTCCAGCAGCAGCCCTGGCCACACCCCCAACCCCAGCAGGCAGAGGTCACTGTGGGCAGCACTTTATTGACCACCTGGGCCAGGGTAGCTACCCTCACCCTGAGGGCAGCCGAGGAGGCCCCATGGGGGCAGAAGCCTTCCCAGGGCAGGAGGGGCGGGCAGGCGGCCCCTCCCGGCACTTGAGGCCCAGCAGGGCAGGCGAGCTCTGGCTGTGGACAGTGAGGAGAGGCTGGGTCCTGGGAACCCTCAGGCCCCAGCGCTCGGGGCCTCGTGGTTGAGCACATAGTAGTCATGGACGTACATGAGGACGGCCACCGGCTGCCCGATGATGAGCGTCAGCCACACGGCTGCGTTGCCGTAGTTGCCCCGGAAGAAACGGCCCACGATCCAGGCCAGCGGGACCTGGGGACACAAGGGCTGCGTCACGGGGACACGGCCCCAGGGTTGGCTGTTCCAGGTCCCAGAAGCAAAGTGGGCCAGAGGGAGCTCACCTGTGCCATCATGCCGGTGAACGCCCAGAGGCGGAACATGCGCAGGGGGATGCTCACCAGGTACTGGGTGGGGAAGGAGGGCGTCAGTGTCCGCCAGGGCCAGACCCTGGCCCAGGGCTGCGGTGGGGCACCCCGAGGAGCACTGACCTCGTGGAAGAAGGCCGAGGCCAGGAACACCCCCGTCCTGGCCACCCACCTGCTGCTGCCCTGCCGCAGCATTGGTTTGTAGAAGTGCCTGCGGGGAGGGAGGCCGTGGGACGGGGTGGGGGGGGGTGGGGGGGGTCCGAGCCTGCCCCACGCCCACGCCCAGCTACCTGCTGCACCACTTGTGCACAGGGATGTTCCAATTCTGCCAGAAGTAGGTGACAGACTCCGAGTTCCTGGAGGTGAGAACGAGGCTGCTGGAGCACGTGCAGCCCCTAAGCCCCGCCCCCAGAGCCACCCCAAGGCCACCCACCACCAGTCCCGGTAGAACTGTCGGTCTCCGAATCGCATGAGCTCCCCCACGGCGTTGAGGCAGGAATGGAAGAGCCAGTAGAAGAAGATGAGCCAGATGAGATGGTTGGGGACCTGCAAGGAGAAGGGGCTCCAGGCTCCAGAAAGCCCACCTGCCGCCCACCCGCCCCACCCGCCCCACTCACCGCCAGCTTCAGCAGCCGTTCAACGATGCGGGAGTAATCCATGTCCTGCCAGGAGAAAGGCTCCCTCAGCACGCGGCCGCCCCCACCCCAGTCCCCGGAGCCCGCCCGCTCACCTTGAAGGGCTTCATGGAGTTCCGGATGGTGGGGACCATCCACTGCAAAGGGAGACACAGGTCAGCTCAGGCTGGCTGGGCCCCCGCCCCCCAGGCCCAGGCCCACGTACCTGCTGGATCAGCCCCACCTGCAGCTGCGTGAAGAAGAGCTGGAGGAGGAACCAGACAGCGCCTGAGCCCCAGTCCAGGGGGTCTGCCAGCCCGGGGAGCCACCCTGCCCCCCGCCTCACCATCTCCAGGAGCCGGCGCAGCAGGAAGCGCTTCCGGATGCGTGGGGAGCGGGGGAAGTTGAGCTCATAACACAGAGTGGGGGCGAAAAGGAAGTAGTAGAGATCTGGGGTGAAAGGGGGAGGCGGGGGCTGGCACCCTCACAGGCCTGGCCCGCCCTGGCCAGGCCCCACCCAGGCCCCACCGCCCCCAAGCCCTCACCACGGTAGGTCAGGTTGTCGGGGTAGCTCACGGTGCACTGGCCTGCGGCCCCAATGGCCTTCCCTGCAGAGACTGCAAACGGGCCAGAGTAGGCCATGGCTGCCCCGCCCCCGCCCCTGCCCCCGCGGGCAGCCCCCGCCCCCGCGGCCCTCACCAGCCTTGGCCCTGCGCTGGCGGCACCACAGGTTCACATCTCGGTAGGAGAAGAGCTTGAGGAAGAGGATGGTGTGCACCGACAGCGCCAGCACGGAGCCCACTGTGGAGAGGCAGGCTCAGTCTGGTGCCAGAGGCGACTCCGGAGCAAGGCTGGCCCGAGCCGGGTGGGGCAGGCGCACCTGGGGTGATGGACTCCACCAGTAAGGCCACAGCCGCAGGGAAGCAGAGAACGGTGGCCAGGTTGGCCACGTGCAGCAGCAGCCCCACGGGCTCCGTCAGGGCACCCTGGGGTGGAGACGGCGCGCTCAGCCAGAGCTGCCTCTAGGAGAGGGCTGGCTAGCCAGTGAGGAGTGCCACGCCGAGGGCCGAGGGCCAAGGGCCGTGGGAGGCGAGGACAGGCCCTGCTTACCACTGCCAGGCGTTTCTCAACCTGGAACGCAGCCACGGCAAAGACATTGGCCACTGAGGACAGAAGCACCACAGGGCGGGCTCAGGGCACAGTGGGCCCAGTCCCCGCCCGAGGCCCTCCTTGGAGCCCAGCTCACCAATGACCAGGCACGGGGCGGGCCAGCTGTAGGGGTCCTTCAGGAACAAAGACACCACCTGGATGGGGTCCACCAGGATGCCATACCTGGGGGCAGGGGATGGGGGCCTGAGTAGCTGGGGGCAAGGCCTGGGCTGGGGTGGAACCTGAGCGGGAGTGAGGAGGAGGCCTGTGGGCCTGGAAGGGTACTCACTTGATAAGGTTTTCCAGGAACAACCGTGCATTGCTCAGGATCTGAAAGACAGGAGGGCCCAGTGCGGGCAGTCCTGGCACAGCTCCTGGGCAGCAGCCTGGCTCCTGTCTAGCCTCCATGCCAAGCTCTGGGGCCCACTACCCACCTCACCCCAACCACTCCACCACAGGGGCAGAGAAGACACCAAGAGAAACCGCAGAACCAGGCACCAGCTGCCTGGAGCCACGGCCAGCAGCACAGTGACCACCCGCCCCAAAGCACACGCCAGAGCCTGCCCACCAGCCAGGCCAATCCCAAGTGTCCAGCCTGTGGCAAGAGACTGCGGCAGGGAGGTGCAGTCCTAGGGGTGGGAGAAAGATACTGGCCAGAGCTATGAGGCGCAGGGGCCTGGGCCTGGAGCTCTCCGAGCCCCAGTGTGGCTTCTAAGATCTGAACCACAGCAGAGACTGCAGGCTCGAGCCTGGGGCCAGGCCCTGGCCTCCCTTGACCCCATCTCACAGGTACTCTGGCGAGCCGGGCCCTGATGCCACTGACCTGTCTGCCCAGAGCTCAACTCTGCGCAACAGAATTGACAAGGACTGCGGAGGAGCCACACACGCTGGGGTCAGGGGGCCCTGCCTGGGGGGGCCCACGGAAGGCAGGGGCCGGCGCTGTGGCATAGCAGTTAAAGCCACCACCTGCAGCGCCGGCATCCCATATGGGCACCAGTTCCAGTCCCAGCTGCTCCACTTCTGATCCAGCTCTCTGCTATGGCCTGGGAAAGCAGCAGAAGATGGCCTAAGCCGTTGGGCCCCTGCACCTGCATGGGAGACCTGGAAGAAGCTCCTGGCTCCTGGCTTTGGATCAGCACAGCTCCAGCTATTGCAGCCAGTTGGGGAGTGAACCATCGGATGGAAGACCTCTCTCTGTCTCTCTCTCTGCCTCCTTCTCTCTGTGTGTTAACTCTTTCAAATAAATAAATCTTTAAAAAAAAAAAAAAAAAAGAGGGTCCCGGGTGTTGTGGGAGAGCAGACAGTGCTGCCCAGGCTACCCCAGAGCCCCTGCTCGGGCCCGAGAGCCAGCCTGGCCAGAATGGACACACCATCTGTGGAAGCCAGGCTGCACTGGGCTTCCTGTGGCCTGCCTGGCCAGCTTCTCAACCATCAGGCCATCTCTGGGCCGAGGATGCTGGGGCCCTCCCAGGGCAGCTGGCAGGGAGTGTGGGCATGCGCGGAGCAGTCACAGAGGCCCAAGAGCTCCTCCAGGTGAGGACCGCAGGTCTCAGCCACATGGGCTGTGCGCGGTAGCCACTGGTCCCAGACAGGCCTGTGCGCCCCGACCTGCTCCACAGGCTGCCCCTTTGAGCCCGGACTCCAATGCTCCGGAGTGCACCAGGTCTGGTATGTAGTACAGGTGTCCATCAGTTCCTCCCTACAAACTCCTGGGACCCAAAGAGAGAGAGGCTGGCCAGGAGGCCTGGAGGGCTTCCGCCCCCGAGGGTCACACGGCAAGGCACAGGGACATTCACCAGCTCCCAGAGAGGCCTCGTGGCCCAGAGCGCCGCCTGGCCGTCCCCTTACCCTGAAAGCCCACAGCAGCCCAGGCGGCCACAAGGGAGCCTTGGGCCCTCAGGGCAGTTCACAGCACAGAGGCCTGGAGCCCTGGGCACACCGCTCGCCCTCCCTCGCCCAGCGTGAGCCCCTCTGGTCACTGCAGGGACTACCCCTGTGCGGCCCCCACTGCCCCAGCCTCCTCAGGGCAGCGTCAGGTCTCACGTGTCCCAACCCACGGTCCTGCACCTGGGGACACAGCCTGTGCCCAGGCAGACGTCAGCTGGCCCTACTCACCAGCATCACCACACACCAGTTCAGGATGCCACGGTAGTTGCTGAAGCCACTGTCAGAGCTGAACAGTGAGTCCTGCAGGCGGTGGCATCTGGTGAGCGACAGGCACCTGGTGAGCCGCGTGGGCAGGGCAGGGCAGGGCCCCAAACCAGGATCCACCCCCCCCCCCCCCCCCGCAGCCCATTTACAGATGGGCAGAGAAGCCGGCGAGCCCACCGCAGCCACAGGGCGGGCGGCGGCAAAGCTCTTGGAGGCCTGCCCTGCAGGCAGCAGGAAGGAGCAGGTCACGGGCAGAGGCCCAGGCACCTGTCCCGGGCTGCCCAGGCTTCCGTGCGCTTGGGTGCCCGAAAGCAGGAGGCCACACCTCACTCTCCAGGGGCACTCGGGCCACAGAAGTCCACTCTGGGGGTCTGTGGGCTCACCTGGCACCACTTAGCACTGCAGGGACGGGGGCTGAGGCTCAAGTCCACCCCGCTCAGCTGGCCCAACGTGCCAACAAAACCTCCCCACTCGGCCACACGTTGGGACCGAGGCAAGGGCCAGCCCAGCGCCCAGCTTGACACAGCTTCCTGGATGCAGGAGCACCACCCATGTGCTTACGTGTCCTCTCCCTGAGCTCGGGGCAGGCCCCCAGTGAAGGCCTCCATCAGTGCCGGGGTGGACACCTGGCCCAACAGAGAGGCCACTTGGGTGGCTGGGGCAAGGTCCTGACCCAGCCCCTGGCAAGCTCAGAGCGGCAGCAGCTGCACCCCACTCTCCCTCCAGGCAGCCCCGGGCCACGTTGAGCAAGGCCCGGGTTTTGTAAGAGGCCACACGGCCTCCCCTCCTCCCCTCCCTCCCACAAGCACCCGGTGCTGCTGCCTCCAGGCGCCCCTCTCCACACAGCCCTGCGCCCACCCGGCCCCCAGCAGCACAGAGATCGCACACCCACCTGCCCACCTCGGGCTGCAGCACCAGGGCAGGCAGCTCGGCCTGAGCTTCCCCTGCACACACCACGCACACACCAGCTCCTTCTGCACCTGAGCCCCACCCCCAGAGCCCAGCAGCACGGGCTGGGCAGGGCAGCCTTCGCGCTCGCGCTCACGCGCGCGCCCACTTGCTGTTGCCAGAGAACCACCGAGCTTCCCGCGCCACTCCTGAGCACGGCTGTTCCACACCGCGACCACCACCGAGATGGCTGTGGCCATCTCCCACGTCACCCCTGCTTCGCTTGCTGGGCCCTCCCCAGGCCCCCCCTGCACACGCCCAGGCCCCTCCAGGGCTCCTCACCAGCCCTGCCCCTAGCACCCCTCCGTTCTCAGCCCGGCTGCCCTCCCCACCAACATGCCCGAGGCCCTGTCCCCAACGTCCACAGAACTGCAGGATTGCCAGTGCAGCCAGTGGCAAGTGGGCTAGAGGGCAAGCCACAGGGAGACGCGGACCGGGCAGCTGTGCAGAGCCATCTTTCCCACCCTCTCACCCACTGGACAGCCTGCCCGCGCTTCTGTGCCTTGCAGCTGTCTCTCACCCACTCCCCAGCCGAGCCCCTTCTAACCCCTCCCCCACCCAGGCAGCACAGGCGGCAGACACACACACGGCTCTACTTCCAAGTCGGGCCTCACCTGCAGACCACACGGTCCAGCCCCAGGGCCAAGCAGAGCGAGGACGGGGCAGAGGGCCAGCTCCCCCTGCTGCCACCCCACAGCCCTGGAGTGCGGGGCTCACTGCACCCCGGCACCCACGGGGCTGCGGAGCCTGGCAGGCCACAGGCTGAGCAGGGACGGTGCTCTCACCTTGCCACAGGGCAGAAGTGAGCTCATGCCCAGCGCCTGACCGGGCTGCCCAGGCCAAGGAGAGCAGGAAGTGAGGAGGGGGAGGCAGGCGCTCACAGAGCGACCAGGAAGGGAGAGAGGAAGAGCAGCCACAGGCCCGGAGAGAAGGGACACAGACGGCGAGCTGAGCCCACAGAGAGGGCTGCCCCGCCAGCAGCCCCGAGCCCTGTGCAGCCCAGGTCTGAGTGACAGGCACACGGAGCCACAGGTCACCCCAGGTCTGGGGGCAGGCACAGAGACACAGGTCACCCCCAGGTCTGAGGGACAGGCACAGAGACACAGGTCACCCCAGGTCTGAGGGGCAGAGACACAGGTCACCCCCAGGTCTGAGGGACAGACACACAGGTCACCCCCAGGTCTGAGGGACAGGCACAGAGACACAGGTCACCCCCAGGTCTGAGGGACAGGCACAGAGGCACAGGTCACCCCAGGTCTGGGGGGCAGGCACAGAGACACAGGTCACCCCCAGGTCTGAGGGGCAGGCACAGAGACACAGGTCACCCCCAGGTCTGAGGGGCAGGCACAGAGACACAGGTCACCTCCAGGTCTGAGGGGCAGGCAGAGACACAGGTCATCCCAGGTCTGAGACACAGGCACAGAGACACAGGTCACCCCCAGGTCTGGGGGCAGGCACAGAGACACAGGTCATCCCAGGTCTGAGGGACAGGCAGAGACACAGGTCATCCCAGGTCTGGGGGGCAGGCAGTGACACAGGTCACCCTCAGGTCTAGGGGGCAGGCAGAGACACAGGTCACCCCAGGTCTGAGGGGCAGAGACACAGGTCACCCCCAGGTCTGAGGGACAGGCACAGAGGCACAGGTCACCCCAGGTCTGGGGGGCAGGCACAGAGACACAGGTCACCCCAGGTCTGAGACACAGGCACAGACACAGGTCACCCCCAGGTCTGAGGGGCAGGCACAGAGACACAGGTCACCCCCAGGTCTGAGGGGCAGGCAGAGACACAGGTCACCCCAGGTCTGAGACACAGGCACAGAGACACAGGTCACCCCCAGGTCTGGGGGCAGGCACAGAGGCACAGGTCACCCCCAGGTCTGAGCCACAGGCACAGAGACACAGGTCACCCCAGGTCTGAGGGGCAGAGACACAGGTCACCCCCAGGTCTGGGGGGCAGAGACACAGGTCACCCCCAGGTCTGGGGGCAGGCACAGAGACACAGGTCACTCTCAGGTCTGGGGGCAGGCACAGAGACACAGGTCACTCTCAGGTCTGGGGGCAGGCAGAGACACAGGTCATCCCAGGTTTGGGGGGCAGGCAGTGACACAGGTCACCCTCAGGTCTAGGGGGCAGGCAGAGACACAGGTCACCCCAGGTCTGGGGACAGGCAGAGACACAGGTCACCCCAGGTCTGGGGACAGGCAGAGACACAGGTGCTGGGACCCAGGAGCGGCGGCTTCCCCAGCAGGCCCAGCTCTGCCCGGGAGACCAGACGGGGACAGGGACCGGGCTCTGCTGGCTCTCGCACTCGCCTTGCCCCAGCCCACACCAGGACACAGCAAAGGCTCACTGGCCAGTGCCCAGCTGGACGTGGCTGCCCCCTGCCAGGCCCGGGGCCCCATCTCACACAGAGGCCCCGCAGCACCCCTCCCAGAATCCACACCCCCTCTCGGGCAGGCCCCGCCCAGGGGAAGCTGCACCCCTCTCGGGAGGCCCCCCGCCCCCGGCGCCTTCGTGGCCGCCTCGGCGACCTTTGTCCACACTGCTCCGCGGGGTTATCTTATCTCCCCGGTGAGCCGTGAGCACCCCACGGGCAGGCTACAGCGCCCACTTCCTCCTGGCCCCCCGGCTGCCCCGAGGACCCTGGGCCACATGACGGCAGCGCCAAGAGCCTGAGGGTGCCAAAGGGCCAGAGCCCGGGCCGTCGGTCCTCCCTGGCGGCCCGGGCAGCAGGACGCGCGCCCCTCCCGCCCTCAGAGCAGGGCCCCCTCCCGGGCAGCCCCGAGACGCCCCCTATCCCGGCAGCTGCGGGTCCAGCCACGGGGGCGGGGGAGCCAAGCGCGAGGCCGGCCCCTCCGCGGGCCTCCGCACCTGAGGATGCGCTCCGCGCCACCTGGCCGGCCACCTGGGTGACCTTGGCAGGTGACCCTCCCCCGCCAAGCCCGGCCTCTCCCCGCGGGGCGCACCCGGCGGGCTGGGGTCGGGCGCGCGGCTACCTCAGCTCCCAGTGGCCGTCGCCCACGTCGGCGTCCGCGTCCTTGTCCGGGGCCGGCGTGTCTCCCGCGGCGCCCACGTCCGGGCCCGCCGCCCCGTTCCGCACCTCCTCTTCCGCCGCCGCAGGCCCGCCGCCGGCCTGGCCCGAGGGCCGCGAACCGGTCCTCCGGCGCCGGGAGCCGCCCGCGCCGCCGCGGTCGCCCATGGCCTCCGCCCGCACCCTGCGGCCCCCTCGTCGTGGCCCTCCGGGCTCGCAGCGCCCGAGGCCCGCGGCCCCGCCTCCGGACCCTCGGCAACGGCCGCCGCCGCCCCCTGCCGGCCGCCGTAGCCCGCCCGCGTCGCGCGCTTCCGGCGACGACCCGCGGCACCGTCGCCTCCGACCGCGCGCGCCTGCTGGGCAGGCCGCGCGCGCGCCCATTTGTAGCCCGCGGCCGGCGTGGGCGGAGCCCGCGGGCGCGCGCGGCGCACCCTGGGAGTTGTAGTCGCGGCGCGGCGGCGAGCGAGGGGCGCGCGCGGGGCTGCGGCGGTCCGGCGAGGCGGCCGAGGACCTACGGCGTCCGCGGGGCGGGCCCGACAGCCGAACCTCTCGCCCGCTGTTGTAAACGCTGCCACGTGCGGCGGGCGTGGCAGACGACGCCCCCGCTCTGCGCCTGGGGCTCCGGGGAGAGAGCGCGGAGCACGGCGGCCACGCCGGGCCGAGCGGTCGGGTCCCCCCGCAGGGGCTGGCCAGCGGCAGTGCGGGGCCGCTTTGGAGGCGGCTGTGTGCGTCCACGTCCCAGCTCCGAGCCGCCAGCATGACAGTGGCCGCGGGAGTTGGGCGACCGGAGCCGGGGCCACTGGGGAGGAAGGTCCGGCTGGGCCAAGGGCCGAGACAGCGGGAAGGCCAGGCGGTGACCACCAGCGAGAGGAGCCCCACCGCCACCGCGGGGAGAGGAGGGCGGTGGGGCAGGTGAAGCCTGTGGTGTCCTGGCCAGGACAGGTCTGTCTGCTGGGAAGTTACAGGGCAGAGGGTGAGGCCCCACCAGGGGGTCCTGCCGTCCTGGTGGAATGGAGCAGGTGGGGGGGGGTGCCAGCCTGTGGCTTCACCTGTGGCTCCTCCTGGCCTTCGGCGAGGTGGGCTCAGACTCCTGCAGCTAGGCGGCATGAGAGGGAGGGTCTGCAGGAGAGCTGGGCCCCGGGCAGCGGCAGGGGTGCCTTCACCCTGCAGGCTGTCCCACTGGCTGTGCGCTCCAGAAGGGGGCACTCACCCCTGCAAAGCCGCCTCTGCTGCAGACCTGGCCCCGGCCCCCTCCCCATGCCGCTGGCTGTGGGCAGCTGCGCTGGCCCCTGCAGGGCTGGCCTGGTAGGAACTCCCAAGCCCCAAGACTGAGGGCTCTCTCCGCTCAGGCCTGCCTACCTTCTCGCCAGGCTCTGTGGCTGGGCAGGATGTCCCTGGCCCTCTGCCCTTCCCGTCCACCACAGCCTGGTCCTCGCCTCCTTGACTCTGTGCAGGGTTCTGGGTGGCCCCGGGCCCAGCCATGCTTGCAGGTGGTTGGTGTGTGGGGTGGGGGAGCACTGCTCTGGAGTCTGGGGTCGGGGCGAGGGCTGCAGACTGCAGGCAGAGGCCAGACTTCAAACCCTCTTCAGTCCTGGGTCTTCCACCAGCACCCCCGGCTCTCAGGTCTGCCCGGCTGGTGACGCTGTCCAGGGAGGACAAAGGCGCCTCAGGCCGGGGGACCTCCCCCTCCCAGATGCAGCGCCCAGCCTTGCAAGGGGCCAGCCCGCAGACCCTCCCCTGCAGCCGGCCCAGCCCAGGACACACCAGCGTGAGGCTCCGAGTTCTATCAAGAGTGGCATTTATTCTCCTTGTGGAGGTGCGGCGCTCCGGGGAGCTGGTGCTATTGTGCTTAGGAAGGAGGTCTGTCCGTCCGTCCGTCTGTCCGGCCGGCCCAGCCCCAAACGGGGGCGGAAGAGGGGCCGGCCCGAGTAAAAATCCCGGCGTGCTCCGGGTGGGAATCTGTACAAGGCGGCGGGGCGCAGGCGGGGGTGGGGGCGGGGCGGGCCGGCGGCCACGGCCCCCACCGAGGGCCCCGCACCTCGGGCCCTACTTGTAGAATAGTACAAAACAGGTGCTAGCTAAACGTTCCTTCTACCTGAATTCGCTAAGTCGGTTATTGTGCTGCTTCGTTATGGGGGCGGGAGGGGGCCCATGGCTTTCCACGGCGGCGGGGTGTGCGGAGAAGCGGGGGCTCCGGGCGGCCCACGGCCCTCGGGCCTTCTCCTCAGGTAGGTAGACAGGAGAGTGGGATGGGGGCGCCTGTGCACGCGACTGCGCGCGGCGCAGGCGGGCAGGGCCGGGCTGTGCGGGCACCGCGCCTGGCGAGGGAGGGGGTTCGGGATGTGGGCACCGCGATGCCGGACCTGCCCCTGTGGGCACAACCGAACCTGGGGCTGGGCGCGTCAAGCACTCAAGAGTGCGCCTTGCCTCGCGAAGGGCCCTGGCGCAGGCTGGACTCGCAGGGCCACGCGGGCGATCGTCCTGCCTGAGCAGAGAACGCGAGGCCCAGATCAAAGGCAGAGCCGGAAAAGGCCCCCGGACGAGAGGAGGGGCGTCTGGGCCCGGGACCCCGGCCTCCCTCTGCATCTGCGCGCGTCCCTCGCCCCGCGGGAGCCGCTGGGCCTCCGCGGTGGTCCTGCACTTCCCCGCAGGCCGCCGGGTGCCTGGCGCCCAGCAGGTGCCCACTGAGCGGTCGGTGAGTGATGGGCGACTGAAGGCGGGGTCTTGGGTGCAACCGCCCCGCCCCTCCGGGGCCGAGACCCCCGCCGGGCTCTGCCGTGGGAGGGGGCGGGGAAGGGGGTAGAAAGTCCGCGCGGCCGGCCCCGCGCAGCATCCCTGATCTAGGGGCCTATGGGGCGGGGCGGGGTGGGGCGGGGATACCTGATTCTCAAGAACTAGAGGCGGCGGCAGCTTCGCATGCAGTGCGCATTATTGCTCTATAGTCGGCGTCGGACTAACTAGGGGGCCAGGGGAGCGGGCAGCCCCGGGAAGGGTCGGGAGGAGGGGTGGGGCTGCATGCAGTGACGTCACAAAGGCGGCGGCCAATGGGGCGGGCCCTTGGGGCGGAGTCGCCGCCGAGGCTTTGGCATAGACGGGCGAAAGTTGGCAACCGAGTGGGGCGGGGTCCGAGGCTCCCCCGGGACCGAGCCCGAGCCCGGCTAGGGGTGGGGACACTGATCCTGGACTCCCGAGTCCCCAGCGTCGGCGGGGAGGATTAGGGGGTGGGGGATCCGGCGCCCCCTCCCTGACCCGAGTGCAATCCGTTCATAAATAAAACTAATACAGGAAGGAGCCCCGACGCGTCCGCAACCCCTCGCAGCGAATACAGAGGTGTGTGGAGGGCAGAGCCGCGCCCGCCTGCCGGGCCCGGAATCCGTCCTCCAACACCACCTAGCGCCGCGGGTGCGCGGGACGGGGCCCCGGGGCGGGGCGGGGGTCTCAGGGGGTCGGTGAGTCCATGCGATTCGATATGCGTCATTATTATTCCGTGTGGAGGACAGAGCCCCGGGAGCTGGGCTGGAAGAATTCGGATTTCGCAGAGGATGCGAGGAGGGTGAGGGTGGGAGGGCGGCTCGGACCGGGCCCCCCCGAAGGGGCCCGAGGGAGAGCAGCGCTGCCGTCAGCCCCGGCCCCGGCCCCCGGAGCGGGCAGCGGCGCCTCCGCAGGCCGCGCCCGCGCCCGCCCCTCCGCCAGCCCGCTGCCGCGAGGAACCGACGCCCCGGACGTGTGGGCCGAAGGCCCGGCCCTGGAAGGCTTGGGAAGGGGTGGGGAAGACCTGAGTCTCGCGACGCGATCCAGAGGCGCAGAGGAGGGAGCAGGGGGGCGCGCCCGCCCCCCGCCCCAATCTTCGGAGACCCAGCTCGGAGCTGAGGTTCGGTTCTGGGTCTCGGCGACCCTATTGCTGGGAGGAAGCCTGGGGCACCCTGGAGGGGAGGGGAGCGGGTTCGGGGTGGGTCTCCCCTCGGGACCCTATTGCTTGAAGGGGCTGGCAAGGCCCCCGGCGGGCGGGGCAGGGTGGGGCCGGCCCCCTCCCCCTATTGCTGTGAGGAGGGGCCCGCCCTCCGGCCCCTCCACCCGGACGCCGGCGGAGACTTCCCTGGGGGAGGCCCCGTATTGCTGAGCGCCGAGCGGGCTGGCGCAGGCCCTCCGCCCTAGGCCTGCACGGGGCCGAGCTGCGGCGGCGCGGGGGCCGCGGGGCCGCCGGCCGCGCCACCCTTGAAGCAGGCGGACTCGTAGTGCTTGTTGAGATAGGACTTGAGCGCGAAGCTCTTCTTGCAACGCTTGCACTGGAAGTGTTTGAAGGCGGAGTGCGTCTGCATGTGCGCGCGCAGGTTGGAGCGGTCGGCGAAGGCTTTGCCGCAGTGCGCGCAGCCGAAGGGCTTCTCGCCCGTGTGCGAGCGCATGTGGCCCTGCAGCAGCCAGGGCCGCGAGAAGGCCTTGCCGCACACGCCGCACTTGTGGCGCAGGTCGTGCGTGAGCAGGTGCATGGCCATGGCCGGCATGGACACGTACACCTTGCCACACGTCGGGCAGCGCCGCGCCAGCTGGCTGTCCAGGCTGCGGTGCGTCTGCTTGTGGCGGCTCAGGTTCGACGACGTGGCGTACGTCTTGCCGCACTCGCCGCACGCGTGCCGGCCACCGGCACCCGCGGGCCCTGGCCCCGCGCGAGCTTCGGGGCCCGCCCCCGCGCGCGCGCCGCCCCGGCCCCCTGCCCCCGAGCCCGAGCCCCGCGCGCCCGCCCCGCCTCCGCCTCCGGTGTCGCCGTCGCCGTCGGGGGCCGCGGCCGTGGAGGGGGCGGCGGCGGCGGCGGCGGCGGCGGCGGCGGCCTTGCGGCGCGAGCGCCCGTCGGTGATGAAGAAGGCGTCGGCCGCGTAGCCCTCGCTGACGGCCGCGTCGCCGTTGATGTAGCCGCCCGCAGCGGTGGCCAGCTCAGGGCGCGGGGTGGGCGGCGGCGCCGAGCCCGCGGCCGCGGGGCCCAGCTCTCCCCGCACGGCCGCCGCGTACATGGGCTCCGGGGACGGCCCTTTGAGCAGCGCCGCCTCGGCGTCGCCATCGTAGACGGACGCAGGCCCCACGTAGTCGCTGAGGTATCCTGCGGACCGAGGCGGACACACGGACAGGGGGCGGGAGGGGCACAGGGAGGACAGAGCGGGGACGAACCGGGAGGAAGACAAAGAAGGGGCCGGGGGACCGCGGGGCAGGCGGGATGGAGACAGCGGGGAGGGAGGGGAGAGCACAGGCGAGGATGAGTCGGGCCCGGCCGCGCTCCGCCCCCGCCGCCCGGCGCCCCGCCCCCGCTGGGGGAGGAGGGAGGCGCAGCTCGGGGCGCGGCCGCCCCCCTTCCGCGGAGCCTCAAGGTCAGGGGGGAGGGGCGGCGCCTCCCTCTCCCGCCTCCCCTCCCCTCCCCCTCCCCCTCGGGTTCTCCCCACTTCAGCAGTTTTCCCTGATTATGCAACACACTGCAGACCTGCGGCGCACAAAGCCGGGGCCGCCGCTCCGGGGTCCCCGCAGGCTCTTCCCGGTGCCCCGCCTTGGTACTGCCCCCCAGCGAGCCCCAGAGACGGGCTCCCCGCTCCGGCTCCTCCGGCGCGCCCCCCCACCTGGCTGGGCTTGACCCCCACCCACGCCGGCAGTGGTGCCTCCATGGCTCCACACGCCTTTCCTGGGCTGCTCCTCGGGTTCCTGCTCTGCTCTCTGCTAGCCTCTTCCTCCCACCCCCTAGCCTCTGCAGGGGCCATTCCCAGGCCAGAGACACTGCGGTGAGCACAGCGCCCAGGTGTCCACCATGGGACACCTTCAGAGAGACACAGCCTCGGGAAGGCAGCACAATTCGTGCCGGAACCCAGAGCACAAGATGGATCTTACAAGCTCAAAATCACAAGCGCACCTCTCAGGAGGGGGTTGTGTCCCCGCTTTGGTCCTCCCTGGAGTCCCCGGCTGGCTAGGCCACCCACTCGTGCAGGGTCACATATGCAGCCACCTGGACACTCTCAGTCACATGGTGCACACTGGCCCCAGAGTCACATGGTCCCATGGAGTGGCACACAAGCAGGCACACACTCACACAGGGTCACACACTGACAGTCACATGGTCACACGCAGTCACATGGGCCCACACAGGCTCCCACTCCTGCAGGTCGCACTTGCCCTGCCGCCAGGCTGCTGGCACTCCCTGCACCCCAGCTCCCATGCGAACAGTTGTCCTTGAACTTGGGCACCCTGGCACAGAGAGCCTCCCCTGCCCGCAGCTTCCTCCCCCTGACCCTGGCTTCAGGGAAGGCCCTGGCACTGCAGCTCCTGCCCTGACAGGTGGGCGGCCCCTGGAACCCCTGCCTGCTCCCTAGCAGGGGTCCTGGGAGCACAGGAAGAGGGCAATGGGTCCAGGATTGGGGTGTGGGCCCGCACGTGCAGTGTCAGCAGGTGGCCGGCATTGGTGGCGGCCTGCCTCCTGGTTCTCACCCATCTCCTCCACCTCCTCCCCTCCCAGCCAGGCCGGGTCCCCATGCCCTGCTGCGGTCCAGGCTTGGCCACAGCCCCTCGGTGGCTCTGGTTCCCTGGGGCCTCTTCGCCCCCCCCCCCGACCTTGCCCTTCCACCCCCCACGCTCGGGCCCTCTACCCCTCGCAGCAACGCCCTGGGCCTGCACCCCAATCGGCTCGCACCTTTATCGTGCAGTCGCACGCCGAGGTCGCCGCGGGCACGCCCGTAGGAGCTCTCGAGGTCTGCCGAAGAGAACGTGTCAAGTTTGACCTTCTTGACCAGGAAGGACCTGGGCATGATTCCTGCGGAGCCGGGGCTCGGGGGGACTGCGGCCGCGGCGGGGCCCCGTCACCATCCGAGGAGCGGCGGAGGCGGCTCGGGTCCCCCCTCCGGCCGCTGGATGCTGCCGCGCCAGTGCCAGTCCGCTCGCCGCCCGCTTCCTGCCCTGCGCCGCCGCCGCTGCGCCTCCCGGCCGCTCTCCTCCGTCCTCCGCTCCGCTCCGCTCTCCTCTTCCTTCTTTCCTTCCTTCCTTCCTTCCCTCCTCTGGTCCCGGCTTCCCAGCCCGCAGTGCCGCCCCTGGACAGGCGGGGGAGGAGGCTGGGGGGGGCGGGGAGGGGGGAGCGGCTCCGTCCCGGGCCCGTAGGCTGCGAGTGGGTGCAGGGCTGCGGCCCCTCGCCCTCCCCCCCGCCGCCGTGGCCGAGCCTCAGTCAGCGGTCCCCCATGCCCCCGGGGGCGGCGGCGCCGGACCGGGACAACGCGGCGGCTGCAGCGGCGGCGGGGGCGCCGGCGTCTTCAGCACCGCGGCCAGCGCCGGCCCGGGCAGCACCGCGGCCAGCGCCCGGGCGCGCTCGGCCGGCGCGGGTGGAGAGGGGCGGGCCGAGGGGGCTCGGCCGCCGGGCGGGGGTCCTCGGCGGGGGTCTCGGGGAGGCTTGCTTTATTGTTCTGCAGCCCGAGCGGTGGTGGTGGCGGCGGCGGCGGCGGCGGCGGGCGGGGGGCGGGGGTCCTGGGGGGAGGGGAGCGCAGGGAGGGCGGGCCGAGGGAGGGGGAGGGACGGGGCTCCGGGGGCGGGGCTCGGCTCTCGGACAGCTCCCGCCCGGCCTCCGAGCTCGCAGCCGCCTCTGCCTGCGGCCCGGCCCAGCCTCCGGCTTTTAAAGCCCTCGAGCGGGGGGGAGGGGGAGGCAGGGGAGGGGAAGAGGCCGGCGGAAATGGCTGCGCTGGGCCGGTCCTCGGCCAGGGTCTCCTGGGAGGGGTCTCGGGGATGCCTCGGCCTCTGCGTGTTGGGGGGAGGGTCCCCCGCGCGGCTCGGGAACGGCTACCCCGCGGTCGGCGGCATTGCCGGGCGGGTGGGAGAGGTGGAGGTAGGGCCTGGGACCTATTCGCCCGGGGCTTGGGGTCATGTAGGGAGGGACGCGGGCGCACCCAGCTCGGGTCAGCCTGCCTCGCCCGGGGCCTGGACGCGCGGGGCTGCGGGGGAGAGCGGGGGCGGCGCCAGACTGGGGAGCGAGTGCTGAGGCAGCGAAAGCGGGTGTGCAGGCGCGGCGCGTGCCCGGCGACCCCGCAGTGTGCGGGTGCCGCGTGTGCGCCCTGTGCCGCAGTGTCTCCGGCCACCCCGTCACCCGGGCTGACCCCGAGCATGCCCGGGGGGCCTCCCCTCCCTGCCTCTCGCCCCTGCGGCGGATGCGGAGCGCTGCGGCCCAGCGAGCGTCCGGCGTGGAGACAGCGAGGGGACGCGGTGCCCCGCTCCAGAATTTTTACTTCGTGGGTGGTTTTTCGCCCTTCCGCGGGGCTGCAGCTCCCCCCGGCGGCCCCGCAACCAGGCGCATAACCTTCCTGCGGCCGCCCGCGCGGAGTTTGCAGCCCCCATGACGTCAGGACCGGCGGCCAATGGCGCGCGCGGGGCGCAGGGGCTCGGGGCCGCACAATGGCCGCGCGCGGTGCATATGTCCCCAATTAGGGCCCGGCGCCGCCATTGTCCCCTCGCCGCCCCCGCCCGGTCCTTTGGGTCTCCACGGTCCGGGCGCGTGCCCACGCCGCCCGCGGTTCCCGGGGCCGAGGTTGCTCAGCGGTTCCGGGCGTGTCCCAGCGCGGCGGAGCCGGGAGCGCGGCCAAGCGGGGGCGCGCGCGCTCGTCGAGCTGCGCGCGGTGACCTTGTGCTGGGCGCAGGGCGGCCGGGAGCGCGCGGAGGCTGGGAGCGCACGGGGCGTGCGGGCGCTGCTTAGCGTCCAACCCGCACGGATCCCGCGCCTCGTCCCTCGCTGCGCCGCCCACAGCCGCCGCCGAGCCACGGCGGGGCGAGCGATCCGACCCGGCTTAGGCGCGCGGCGGAGACCAGGGGCCGCCCCGTGCCCGACCCGGCGCCGGCATGGGCGCTCCCGGGAGCCGAGAGGGCACTGCCGCCCCCCTATCGCGGAGCCACAGCCGGCGAGGCTCGCGGGGGCGGGGCAGGGGTCCCCTCGGGGTGGGGGGTGACGATGCTCGTCCGTCCGAGGCGCAGCCGGAGTCGCAGGGCCAATTAGCATTTTGATTGCGGGACTTGGGGGGCCCAGCTGGACCAAGGCCTAATTACCTGGCAGGCCCTCGGGGCGCCTGCGGGACGTGCCCGGCGCGATGCCCTCGCCCGGCGCCCACCGCCTGCTCGCAGACACGGAGTTCCCTCCCACACTTTCCCACCTCTCCGCTCCTCCCCCCTTCTGCATTTCGTTGTCTGGAGCCCCATTTTTCCATCGCCTGTCTCTCCGCCCTCCATCCCCTGGCCCCCCAGTGTCCTTGGTGCAGGAAGCTCCAGTGCCGGCACACCTGTGTCCCGCAGCCAGGCGCTCCCAAGGGAACCATTCCCGCGGTCCTTGCTCGAGCTCGGGTGGATCCTGCAGCCCCTGGGTCACCCGGCAGGGAAGGGCAGCTGGGCCCAGGCCTTGGCCATCAGTCTGGGCCCTCCTGGGTACCGAGCACACATGCGGCCCCAGCACAAGGACTTGGCCCTCCGGCGTGGCCTCCCTTGGAACACTGGCCCCCACCCCCAGCCACATGGGAAGGTCCAGCCGGAAGGCTCTGGGGAAGGACCGGCGACCGTCCGTCCGATTTGGGGCGGTTTCAGCTCCCCGCCAGAGGCTGTCCCGAGTCTCCCAGGCTGGGGACTGAAGGGCTCAGTGAAGTCAGGGCCCCCAGCCAAAGCCGCGTTGGTGATGCTGGGGCCTGCCTGGCCATGCCTATGCACCGCCCTGCTGCTGGCCTCCAACCTTGCACAGCTAGGGAGCACTCCTGCCTCGGGCTGCACAACCCTGATGAGAGGCCTGGCTGGAGGGTGGGTCCCCCTGCTGCAGCCCCCCTCCCCAGGGTCATGTTCTGGTCACCTGTGGTGATGGGCAGAGGCGGGGGTGCTGCACCATGTGTGGTGGGGGTCATGACTGGCAGAGATGGGTTCGGGGTACATGGCGGGCGGAGGACAAGGTCATTGGCAGGAAGAGAGACCAGGGAGTGGAAGGATGCCATGCCGGGACAGCAAGAGCTGACACGGAGGGAGGCTGGCGTGGCCAGGGACTCTCCCAGCAGGGACCCTTCTGGAGAAGGGATGGAGGGTGAGTGGCCAGCTTCCAGGCCAGGGACAGACGTGGAAGCCGCCTGCTGAGAGGGGAGAACAAGGGGCAGGGAGGACATGGGGGCCACTGCGGGGCCAGCGACCGGCCAGGACTGTGTGCTAGGAGCAGCCAACTGTGTCTTGCTCTGTTCAGACCGCCCAGGCAGAGCACCGAGCAGCAGATGGCGTCTCACAGTCCAGTTGTGGGGGCACTGGCAGGTCCGGGTACACCTCACTGTGTCGTCACCTGGCCAATGGGAGCTGCCTGGGGTCTGGAATTCCAAGGGGACTGACCCCACCCCAGAGAGTTCCTCCCCCACTCCCCAGCCCCCCACCCTCACAGCCTCCCATGGATCATCAGGGCCACACACAGGAACGTCAGACCACAGATGCCGAGGGCACCGTTCCAAGGGTTTGAAAATCACGGGAGAAACCCTCAGAACAGGGTACCAGGGTGGCTGGGAGGCCGAGGGCGCAGGCCGGGCCACTGCTTCATCGTGGAGGAGCTGAGCTCACCTCCACAGCAGGGCAGGAGGCAGTACAAGAGCCGGATCTGTCTTCCTACGTGACACAACCGGGAACAGGCAGGCGGTTACCTTGGTGGCTAAGAGGTTGGTTCAGACGTCCACATGCAGGGGCTGGCACTGTGGCACCAGGCCTGTGACGCCCGCATGCTATGTGAGTGCCCGTCCCGGCTGCTCCGCTCCTGATTGAGCTGCCTGCTAATCCTGGGAAGCAGGAGATGTACGTGGGCCCCTGCCATGCCACATGGGAGACACGGATGGAGCTCCAGGCTCTGATTTTTGGCAGAATCTTGATGTTCATGTTGCTGAAAACTATGAGGCCGTGTTCCACAGCCCCTCGCAGCTACACAGAGGGTTTCCTTCTGGGATCTCGGACACATTCCACTGCAGTACAGGGGCTCTGCCTTGAAGAGATTTGTATGAATTTTTTTATTAAAATACTTATTTGAAAGGTGGAGTTACAGAGAAGGATAGGGAGGGAGAGAGGGAGGTCTTTCATCCACTGGCTCACTCCCCAAATGGTTGCAATGGCCAGGACTGCACAGGCTGAAGCCAGCAGCCAGAAGCTCCCTCCTGGTCTCTCACGTGGGTGCAGGGGACCAAGCACTTGGGCTGTCTTCTGCTGCTTTCCTACGCTGTAGCAGGGAGCTGGATGGGAAGTGGAGCAGCTGGGACATGAACTGGTCCCCACATGGGTGCCAGCATTGCAGGTGGAGGCTTAACCCATTACATCACAATGCCAGCTCTACTGCCCCCACTTTTTTTTTTTTTTTTAAGATTTATTTATTTGATAGAGTTGAGAGAGACAGATCTTCCATCCACTGGTTTCCTCCCCAAATGGTCACAATGGCTGGATCTGAGCCGGTGTGAAGCCAGGAGCCAGGAGCTTCTTCAGGGTCTCACATAGGTGCAGGGGCCCAAACACTTGGTCCATCCTCCACTGCTTTCCCAGATCATAGCAGGAAGCTGGATTGGAAGAGGAGCAGCCAGAAAATGAACTGGTGCCCCCACATTTTAGTGGGAAATGTCCACTGAGGACGTTCCCCCCACTCCATTAGCACTTGCATGTGTACATGTGCCGCACCTGGCCTGACACACGTGCTGCAGGCCAGACTGGAAACCAGGCTGGGGACTGCTCCCTCCGGCACACGCTGGTGGCTTGTGGGACGCACATGGGCACCTTAGGAACAGTTAACTTTATACACATACGATTAACTCTACGAAGTAAGAGTTCAACAAATTGTATGAAAAAAAAAAAAAGCTGTTCTCAGCAGTTGAGACGAGGACTATTCAGTCACCGCCTCTCAGAGTGTCAGTGTCCCTTCTACAGATGGCTTCTGGGGGCTCCATCAGCGCTCACAGGTCAGGGAGAATGTGTGGCGTTTGTCCTTTGGGACTGGCTTATTTCACTAAGTGTGTTTTCCAGATTTTCCCATTTTGTTGCAAATGACAAGATTTCATTTTCTTAACCTCTGTGTAGTATTCCATAGTGTACAATCCCCTGCCTTCTTTCTGGGAAGCAGCAGAAGGTGGCCCAACTCCAGACTGGCTTCAGCCTGGCCCTTGCAACCACTGGCCATTTGGGGACCAGCAGATGAAAGACCTCTCTCTGTCACTCTGCCTTTCAAATAAATTAAAAATAATAAAAAGGAAACGGACAAGAGGGCCTCCCTCCTGCTGCTGCCAGGTCCCCTACCCCTACACTCCTGCCACGCGCTCCGCGCTCCCTGCGGCCCCGCCCACAGCCCACACCTGGTTCCACCCCACCACCAAGTGGCCAGGGACATCTCAGGGACTTGGGCTTTAGGGAGCTTCTTGGTGGTGATGGCTCTGGCCCTGGGCTTCCTGTGCACCACTGGCCGGGGTGGCTTAGTGACTCACGAGGCGTGGTCTCACCCAGAGCTGCTTCACCAGGCTCCCTGTTCAGACAGGCCCCGTGCTGTGTTAAATCTTTTTTAAAAATTATTTTCATTTCATCTGAAAGGCAGACACACACAGACAAGGCAAGAGAGAGCTTCTCCCTGCTCATCCTCAGACGCCCTCAACAGCCAGCTAGATCAGGGGGAAGCCAGGAACCTGTCACTCCACCTGTGTCTCTTGCGTGGGTGTCAGGGGCCGGGGCCCAGGTGTCTGAGCCTCCCAGGGTGCTCATCAGCAGGAAGCTGGGTGGGAGCCTAAGCCAGATCCCAGTTGTGTCTGAACCGCCTGCCCCCATCCTGTTGCTTCTTTAAGATTTTGATTATTTATTGGAAAGGCAGAGCTACAGAGAGGGGAGCTCTTCCATCTGCTGGTTCACTCCCCAAGTGGCTGCAACCAGCAGCCAGGGCTGGGCCAGGCCAAAGCAGGAGCCCTGAGCTCCACCCAGGTCACTCATATGCATGGCCTGAGCCCAGGCACTGGGCCATCCTCTCCTGTCCCCCCAGGAGCATTAGCAAGGAGCTGGATGGGAGGTGGAGCAGCCAGGACTCCAACCAGCGCCCACATGGGATGCCGGTGCTGCAGGCGGCGGCTTTACTGGTTGGGCCGCAGCACCGGCCCCCTGTGCTGGTTTTAATGTTCTGCTGTTGTCATCCTGGAATTCTCCAGAACTTTGCAGTGAGGGCTCCACATTTGCAGCCAGTGCTGGTTCTGGGGATGTTCGCTGGATAACGTCTGCAGACGTGCTGACCAGGACAGCCATGTGGGCCGTGGTGGGCACTGCTCCACCCAGCCCCCTACTTTCTCATCTCCCACCAGGTGGCCTCCACGGCTGCAGCGCGAGAGGCCAGGGCTCTGGGGCCAGGGGGACACAGCCAGGCCATGAGCAGGCCCCGTGCCCGCTGCCCAGGGTGGGCAGCAGCGACTCGCCCTTGGCCGGTCCAGGATTCATCCCCAGGCCCCCAGCCTGTCTTCCCACTCTGCCGCACCCCACCGCTGGTTGCACTGGGAACAGGTACGGGACCCGCTGGGCAGCCACTGAGCCTTCTCTTTAAGGGGTGTTCCACCGCCACCCGGTCTCGAAACCCCAGCGCCCCTGCCCTCAGAGACCACGACCCGGCGGCAGAGGGCCAGAGGCAGCTTTATTCCGAGCAGGGCCGGTGGGTCCACGCGGGGCGGGGGACTGAGGGCAGAGGGGGCGGGGCGCGGGCCCTAGGGCGGCCCCTAGGCCTCGGTCGTCGCCTGGCGCGGCGGGGGATACATATGGGGTTTGCGCTGCCCCAAGCCCGGGCTGAAGGCGCCCCCCAGCGGCCAGTGGCGGACCACGTGCCGGTAGGACGTGACCAGGTAGTCGAAGTAGTTGATGTTGAGTTTCCGAGCGATGTGACGGCCCAGGTACTCCATTTGCTGAGGGAGTGGGCGGCGGTGGGCTCTGCGCCTCACCGGGCCAACGGCCCGCCCCGGGCCCGCCCCACCGGAGCGCCCTGGACCTGGACCGCGGGGCGGCGTCCACAGCGGGACCCACCTCGTAGCGCTCCGACAGCTGCACCAGCACCAGCGGCTCCAGTTTGTGGCCGCACAGGACGAGCCGGAAGAAGCACCTCCCATAGGCTGGCGGGGGACGGGGTGGGCTCAGCCTCGGGTCCCCGGGCGCGGCCTCCTGGGCGGGGTGGGTGAAGGGGGTGCTCCGAGGGTGGGGCGGGCCTCGAGAGAGCGGGTCACCCCGGGGCTGAGGGCCATCACGTGCCGTCCCCCCAACCCCCGGCCCTGCCCGCCCCCGCCCGCCTGAGCGTCACCATCGGAGCTGAGAGCCAGGCGCACGTAGATGAGGTTCATCGGACCCTGGCACACGGTGCGGCCCCGGATGGAGAAGTGGTAGAGGCCGTGCGTGTGATTCAGCACCAGGCGGCGCCGCGGCAGCGACGAGACCAGGAGCCACAGCCCCACGCCCACGCCGAAGGCGGGGAAGCCCCAGGTCTCCTGCTTGCGCACCTGCGGGCGCCGCGGGGCCACGTGAGCACGCCAGGCCTTGGCACCGGGCCGGCCCTGGGCGCGCACCTGCCGGCCTACCTGCCTGACGAAGTCCAAGCTGACGAGCGCGAGGCAGACGACGAAGAGCAGCGCGCCCTTCCACAGCGTGTCCAGGTAGTACTGCAGCACGAAGACTGCGGGCCGAGGGCGGTGGTGAGGACCCGGGGGCCCTGCCCGCGCCCGGCCGCCCCGTGTGCCGCCCCGGGCCCGCCCCGCGCGCACCGCCCGGCTGCTGCTGCGTGAAGGGGTAGAAGCTGTTGCTCTTGAGGCACTTGGCCAGGTGCCGCTCGGTGCAGAAACCCAGCCGCCAGAGCTGGAAGTGTTTGCCGCCCGAGGTCGTGGGCAGGCCGCTGGCCTGGCCCTCGTGGGTCTGCGTGGGACGGCGGCGGTCAGCCGGGCGCCGGCCACGGTCCCCGCGCCCCTCCCACAGCCCAGCAGCGCCCCAACCTCCAGGGTTGCGGTCCAGGGACCAGCGGTGAGTCAGTGTGGACACAGGGGCCGGGCCAGGCAGGCCGTGCGAGTTCTAGAAGTTCTGGGCGGCGGGTTCTAGAATGGCCTCTCTGTTGCTCTCTCCCACGTGGAGGCCCCTGGGTCAGGCCGGGCCGTGGCCGTTCCCCTCCCTACCAGCCCCTGCCCTGGCGAGATCTCCTGGCACAGGCTCACGTGGAGGTGGCCTAAGTGGGATGAGGGGGGACCCACTGGCCGAGGCCCCTCCCTGATGCCATGGCTGTGTGGGTCCCACAGCTCCCGTTCCCCGCAGTGTCCCCTGCGGTGGGACACACACACCCCTGAGCCGCTGGGAGCAGTGGGGTCCTTGGCCACCCCACCCCCACAACGCAGGCTGCAGCAGGCAGGGGTCCACTCTCCCCCCAAGGACCACACAGAGCTCCTAAAAAACATTTATTGTAACAAAACAGGAAAGGGGGCAGTTCCTAGCTGGGGGGCGGGGTGCTGGTGAGCAGCTGCTCCAGACACCACTGGACTTCCGCCTGGCCGCGGTAGGCCCGCTTCAGGCCCCTGGGGAGGCAGCGGCAGGACTCCAGGTTCAGGTACAGCAGACCCGGGCAGCTGGTGATGACAGCGCTGTGGACACAGAGAGCCCTCTGCCTGTGCTCTGCCCCTGGGCCGCCCAGGCCCAGCACCGAGGCCAGCCCACGGTGGACACAGAGGCAGGCAGGACCAGCTCCAAGGGGCCGAGGGAGGGGTGCTGACCTGACTGTGCTGGGAGTGACCCGGGTGCCCCTGAGGTTGAGAGAACACAGGGCCGGGTGTGGGCCCCCAGGGGTGCCCGAGAAGGCAGCTAGGGCCTGCTCCAGGTCCTTCTCGCTGAATCCCTGGCCGCTCAAGTCCAGCTCCCGCAGGGTGTGGCACCACTTGTGGGTCAGCAGGGGGCTGCCCTCCTTGGCTAGGGTCAGCCGGTCTGACAGGCCATACAGGCCCAGGTGCAGCTGCTCCAGCTCTGAGGGGAGGGGCGTGAGTGTGAGCGTGAGCGGCAGGCTGGGCCAGCGTCCCCGGCCCCGCCCACCCGGCCGCTGCCCAGGGAAGGCTGACCCTGACACGGCAGGTCGTGCAGGCCCGCAGGCGTGATTCGGGCACAGCCGCGGAGGTCCAGCAGGCGCAGGTTGGGGGAGCCATGGAGCAGGCGGCCCAAGACCGCGTTGCTCACGAAGTTGCAGGTGGAGCTGGCCAGGCAGAGCTCCTCCAGGCCAGGGAAGCCGGGCCCGGGGGCCGCCCCCCGCGCAGAGGGCTTGGGCAGCCACACGAGATTCAGCAGCCGGAGCACCTGGGGCGGGGTCGAGGCTGCAGGCGGGGCGGGGCTGGGGGCGGGGCGGGGCGCAGGCTGCAGGCGGGGCGGGCTCAGGCTGCAGGCGGGGCGGGGGCGAGGCTCAGGCCGCAGGCGGGGCGGGGCCGGGGGCGGGGGCGGCAGGTACCTGCAGCTGGGGGCAGCCTGTCTGCAGGGCCTCCACCGGGAGCTGCAGGGGAGTGCTGTTGGGGCTGATGCCCGTGCTCACCTCCAGCACCTGGAGCTGGGGGCAGCAGCTGCCCTGCACGGTCGGGGAAAACACAGGGTCAGTGGCCTGGCATCTGACCCAGCTCCCGCCCGAAGCCGCCGACGTACCAGCAGCGCGCCCAGGATGGCTGTCGTCTGGGAGCTGTAGGTCAGCCACAGCCTGCGCATGCGGGGTCCTGCCTCCTCCAGAAAGCTCACCACAGCCGCGGACTCCACCTGGGACCCAGCACAGGGGCACCGGTCACCCGGGCCAGGTGGCCTCAGCGCCCCCTGGGGGACTCGGGGCTCACCACGGAGTGCTGCAGGTCCAGGCTGTGGAGCTGGTGGCAGGCTCTGGCCAGTGCGACCAGGGCGTCAGCAGTCACCCCGTGGCAGTCTGAAAGCTTGAGGAAGGTGAGCCGCGGGCAGTGCTCGCCGACCAGCTGCGGGGACACGGAGGCCAGCTGGGAGGCGGGCCTTGCCCGTGCAGCCCTGTCCTGGGCGCAGGCGGCTGCAAGAGGCCACAAGGAGCGAGCCCCAGGCAGGGTCCGGCGGGTTCCGCAGCCCGGGGCTCACCTTCAGCACGGGCTGCACCTGAGACTTCCAGTGGATGAGGGTCAGCCTCTGCAGCTGTGAGAACCTGGGCGACAGCAGAGGCCGAGCTGCGCCAGCCCCCCCCGCCCTCCCCCGCGCCGGGACACGGAGGGCCCGGGGGCGTCGGCACCCCCGCTCGTGGGGCGGCCAGCGGGGAGCCCCTCACCGGCTGGGCATGAGCCACTCCAGGGAAGCGAGGAGCTTCTTCTCCGCCTTGACTCCGCTCTTGGCAGGGCGGCCGGCCAGCGGCGGCGCCAGGGTCACCGCGCGCCAGAGCGCAGGATGCGAGGCGGCCTCGTGCCAGCGGCGGCACACGCGCGCGGCCCTGCGGGCACAGGACGGCTGCGGGCGCCCGGCCTTCCGCGGGCTCGCCCCGCCCCGGGCGGCCGGGCCCAGGCCTACCTGCCCAGGAACGGCAGGGGCCCGTCAGCCGCCACCAGCAGCCCGAAAACCTGCACCAGGATTTCCAGGGGAATGCGGTCCCCCCAGCCCAAGTCGGGCCCCGGCGCGGGCGCCGGCTGCGGCTCGGGTCTGGGCCGCGCCCTGGGATGGGCAGCGGCCTCGCGGGGCCCCGGGCCGGGCAGCACGAGCAGCATGCTGTCCGCCTGCAGCAGGTGGCACTCGGAGCCGCGCGGCGCCAGCCGGTCCCACCACCAGTCCTCGGCCGAGCGGGCCCGCGCCCAGGCCCCGCGCGCGCACCGCGCCCGGCGCCGCGCTCGCCGGGCCGCCCCGGGCGCCATGAGCAAGCGCACCCCTCTGCGGGGCGGAAGGGGCGGGGCCGCGGCGGAAGAGGCGAGACCACGCGCCTGCTCGCCGACGGCGACTTCCGGGGGCGGGCTTCCGGTCGGGGCGCGCGCGCGGGGGGCGGGCCGGCCGTCGGAGTACCCCGGGAGCGGCGCGTGAGTTCGAGTCCCCGCTCCGGCCGGCCCGCTCTGGCTGCTGCGGGCTCTGGCCGGGGGCGGGGGACAAGCGGCGGGAAGCCCTCCCACGCGGAAAGACCTTGGGGCGGGGACTCGCGCCGCTGCCACGCCCCCCCAGCCGGCCGGGCAGCTGCGGGCCTGCGCTCGGCAGAAGCCGTCGGGCGGTGTGCGGCGCAGAGCGCACCCCTGCCGGAGCCCGTCCACGGCGCGGGGCCTGGACCACAGGACCTTCGGCCCCCGGGGGGGCCCTGCCCAGCGCACGGTAGTCCCTCCCCCGCCCCGCCCCGCCGGCGTCCGCTTCCTCCCCGCAGGAAGAGGCGTCCCGCTGCCCGCCGAGCCCACGCGCGCTCGGTCCGACGTGGGGAACGAGCCTGCCGGACTCGGGCCGGATGGCGGCGCCCCCGCTGGGCCGCCTGGTGCTGACCCACCTGCTGGTGGCCCTCTTCGGCATGGGCTCGTGGGCGGCCGTCAACGGGGTCTGGGTGGAGCTGCCCGTGGTGGTGAAGGACCTGCCCGAGGGTGAGTGGCGCAGGGGTGCTGGAGCCGGGCCCGGGCTGCCTCGCCTGGTGCCTGTGCGGGCCCCTGACGCGGCCTCTCCCCCCCCCCCCCCCCGCAGGCTGGAGCCTCCCCTCCTACCTGTCCGTGCTGGTGGCGCTGGGGAACCTGGGCCTGCTGGTGGTGACGGCGTGGAGGCGGCTGGCCCCGGGCAAGGGCGAGCGGATACCCATCCGGGTGGTGCAGGCGCTGAGCGTGGCGGCCACGGCGCTGCTGGCCCCTCTGTGGCACCATGTGGCCCCCGTGGGGGGGCAGCAGCACTCCGTGGCCTTCCTGACGCTGGCCTTGCTGCTGGCCATGGCCTGCTGCGCCTCCAACGTCACTTTCCTGCCCTTCCTGAGCCACCTGCCGCCCCCCTTCCTGCGGTCCTTCTTCCTGGGCCAGGGCCTCAGTGCCCTGCTGCCCTGCGTGCTGGCCCTGGTGCAGGGCGTGGGCCGGCTCGAGTGCCTGCCGGCCCCGGCGAACGGCACGCCGGGGCCCCCCGTCAACTTCCCCGAGCGGTTTTCAGCCAGCACCTTCTTCTGGATGCTGACTGCCCTCCTGGTCACCTCGGCCGCCGCCTTCCAGGGCCTCCTGCAGCTGCTGCCGCCCTCGCCCTCCGCCCCCGCGGGGGGCTCCGGCCCTGGCCTGCAGGTGGGAGCCCCGGGGACCGAGGAGGAGGCCTCGCCGTTGCAGGAACCGCCAGGCCAGGCGGCAGGCACCCCTGCCAGCCCGGAGCCCGAGGCCCGCCGGCTGCTGTCGGCCCGCACCGCCTGCCTGCTGGGCCTGCTGGCCGCCACCAACGCGCTGACCAACGGCGTGCTGCCCTCAGTACAGAGCTTCTCCTCCCTGCCTTACGGGCGCCTGGCCTACCACCTGGCCGTGGTGCTGGGCAGCGCCGCAAACCCCCTCGCCTGCTTCTTGGCCATGGGCGTGCTGTGCAGGTGTGCGAGGGCGGGAGGAGCGGAGGGCCGGGGGCCGGTCCTGGCGCGGCCAGCCCTGAGTCTCCACTCTTTCCCCGCAGGTCCCTGGCAGGCCTGGGTGGTCTCTCGCTGCTGGGTGTGCTCCTTGGGGCCTACCTGATGGCGCTGGCGATCCTGAGCCCCTGCCCCCCGCTGGTGGGCACCTCTGCCGGGGTGGTTCTCGTGGTGAGCGTGGCGGGGGTATGAGAGGGAGGGCCGGCTGCCCCGGGCAGGGACGGCTGGCACTCAGGAGGCTGCCGCGTCTCCCTCAGGTGCTGTCGTGGGTGCTGTGTGCCGGCGTGTTCTCCTACGTGAAGGTGGCCGTCAGCTCCCTGCTGCACGGTGGGGGGCGGCAAGCCCTGCTGGCGGCCGGCGTGGCCATCCAGCTGGGCTCCCTGCTCGGGGCTGTCACCATGTTCCCGCCCACCAGCATCTACCGCGTGTTCCGCAGCGGGCAAGACTGCGTGGACCTGTGTGGGCCCTGAGCCTGGGCAGGCAGGGGCCTCGCTCCCACCCGTCTTCACCTCAAGGCTGCAGGCACTCGGGCAAGCTGGACGCACCTGCACACTCCACAGGACACCCTGCGCTGCGGGGTAGGGACCAGAGAGCCGGGTTGAGCCGTGGGCTTGATCCTGGACGGCGGTGGGGTTTGTACAATAAAGTATGTCTGCGTGGTGGGTTGGCGTCGTTGGTGTGAGCCCCTCTCCTGGGCAGGCAGCCCGGCCTTCACACACGCCTCTGAGCCCAGGACATCCACCCCCACTGCCTCTCGGAGCTGCATGAGGGTGGGCAGAGGCCAGCTCCTGGGGCCCACTCGGGCTGCAGGCTCTGGAGGGCGAGGGCCGCGTGGGGCGGCTTCAGCATGGGGTCTGCCCAGCGTGCGCCCCTCCAGGATCGCCGGGTGGGTGGGGCCGCTGCTCCTGTCTGTGCCTTCCTGGGGGCGGTTCGGGGTTCCTGCTCCTCTGGGGACCCTTCAGCCTGAGAGCGTTGCCCCTCCTGAGCCGCCAGCTCTGGTCCGGCTCCGCACCCTTCACTCGGGCGGATGTGGAGGGAGCTCCGTTGCCCCCGGTGCTGGGCAGTCTGGGCCTTGCTCCTTGGTGTCTGCAGGGAACAGGGCGTCAGCCTGGACCTTGGGCCGTTGGGGCCAGGCCGGCGGCGTGGAGGGGCTGCACCTGCCCTGTGAGGAGGCAGGAGACAGCCTGGCGTCGGGGCCTTCCCCACAGGCAGGTCCCACCCTGGACTGGGCCAGGCCTGCACCTGCACGGGGGCAGAGCCCTCCCCCCAGGGTGTCCGCTGCATGAGGAGGTCCCTTCCCTTTGGCGGTGGGGCCAGCCGGCTGCCTTGGGGTGGTCGGAGGGCAAGGACAAGGCTGGCGGGGTCGGCGGTGCCTTCCTCCCAGGCCAGCGCCTGTCCTTGGGCTGCTGGGCCACCCTCAGCTCCTTCCTGTTTTCTTTCCCCTTGGCCTGTGATCAGAGGCCTCTCAGGCCTGTGCATGCGTGTGCATGTGTGTGTGTGCACGCACACGGGGGGCCCGGGGCGGTGGGTGGAGGAAGAAGGCCCTGCCTGGCCCTGCTGCAGAGAGGGGCAGGTGGCCCCAAGCCCCCAGGGTGGAGGCTGACAATCTGAGGAAGCCGCTGCCCTTTGAATCCAGGCCTTGCTGCTGGCGCCGCAGGCACAGGGCAGAGGTCAGTGGACCAGGGGAGGAAGACGACTTGGAGGCACCGGGCGTCCTGGAGGGCGTTGCCTGTGCCACCATCAAGAGGTGAGGGGAGGGCCAGCCAAGTCGTGGCTGCTGACCGGGCTGAGAGGTGAGAGGTAGGACCTTCGCCTCCCTCCTTCCCGGGGTTGTCAGCCCACCAGAGCCAGGTGTGCAGTGCCTGGGGGGAGAGTGGCCTCGTCCTGCACTTGGTCCACCCAGGACTCTGTTGGCGGCTTAGGGACGGGGCCCCTGGGCTCCGTGGACCTCAAAGGACCTCTCCTAGGCCGCAGGTGTAGCCGGGGTGGGGGCAGGTACAGGTCCCCAGCAGTGAAGGAGTCGGCCCTTCTGTCCCCCAGCCCACCCTGGGAAAGCTGCCCGGCCTGCTGCGGCTCCAAGAGCCAGCCTGGTCAGTTCTTGGCGTGGTCCTTGTGGTACATTGGTCACAGCACCTCTTCCTGCCCACAGCGACTGGAAAGGGGGCGATGACCCCCGTGGAGCTCACGGCAGTCCATCGTGGGAGCTGTGTGCCCAGAGCGAGGCCAGCGCGGACAGCGGAGCCGAACCCGAACGCACAACCTCGACGTCGTCTTCAGGGCTGCGGGGCTCCAGCTGTGCCGAAGCCAGGTCCCCTTGGTGTGGGATCCCCAGGGCCCCAGCCCCCATGCTTCGGCCCAGCGCCCACAGTTCTGACGTTCTGGGGCGCCTGGTTCTGTTCTCCAAGGCCCAGCCCCCACTTGGGTCCCCCTGTTTGCTTCATCACCAGAAATGCAGGTCTCGTGCTCCGGGGGAGGTAGCAGGGAGGGCCCCAGCGCTCGGGCTGCTGCCCACGTGGGACCTGGGCTAATCCCTGGCTCCCCGTTGACCTGGCCCAGCCCTCGTGGTTGTGGGCCTTGAGGAGTGAACCAGCAGATCGGAGCCCGGTCTCGCTCCCTGCCTTACAGAGCCGTGACTTGGCCGGCTCTTCTGCCCTCAGGTGTGGTGGAGGCCGGGCCGGCAGGTGTGCCCGGCACCCTTTGCCAGCCCACCCTGGGGCTTTTATCTGTGTGGTGTGGCTGAGGGGGGGCCTGCCCCCGCCCCGTCCGTATCCCTCTGCGGCAGGGGAGCAAGCCAGGGAAGCACTCAATGGGGGGGGGGGTCACAGCATACGGGGGGTCGCTAAGACAATGATTAACTCCCCTTGGCAAGCGAGGGAGAGGGGGCTGTGTCAAAGGTCGCTGAGGAGGACAGGAGGGGCCCTGGGGGTCACAGACAGAAGCCCACCCACATTTACTTTAGGATGGGGGGGCAGGACCTCGACGGGGATGGAGCTGGACGTGCAGAGGGCAGGACCTGGACAAGGGGTAGCTGCGGGACGGAGCTGGACGTGCAGGAGGCCCGACCAGGACGGGGCGGGGCAGCTGAGGGACGGAGCTGGACCTCAATGAGGGGGTGCGGCTGGAGGACGGGGCAGGACGTGCAGGGACAGGACCTGGATGGGGGCAGCTGGAGGACGGGGCTGGACGTGCAGGGACAGGACCTGGATGGGGGGCAGCTGGAGGACGGGGCTGGACATGCAGGGGCAGGACCTGGATGGGGGGCAGCTGAGGGATGGAGCTGGACCTCAATGAGGGGGTGCGGCTGGAGGACGGGGCAGGACATGCAGGGGGCAGGACCTCGACGGGGGGGGGCAAGCTGGTGGCGGCTGTGGCCGTGAGGGGTGCGCACCCTGGCGGGGAGGGGGGTGTGCCCTGCAGTGAGCTGAGTTCCCCACCTAAGGAACTCCTTCCTCTAAGCCTGAGGACGAGTCGTGCGCCCTGGAGATGCCGTTGGCCTCTTGCATCAGTGGGCACCAGCCTGCCTCTGCCCGGCCCCACTTCCATGAGCCCAAGGAACGGCGTCCCTGCTTCTCCCCACAGCAGGAGCTACGGTGTAGCTTGTCAGTCAGGGATTTGCCACTCTGTCTACAATGTGGTAGTAGTTAAGGAGTTTTTTTAAAGATTATTTATTTGAAAGGCAGTTACAGGGAAAGACAGAAGAGGTCTTCCATCTGCTGGTTCACTCTCCAATGGCCACAAAGGCCAGAGCTGGGGCAGCCAGGAGCTTCCTCCAGGTCTCCCACGTGGGTGCAGGGGCCCGAGCACGTGAGCATCGTCCACTGCTTTCCCCAAGTGCATTAACAGGAGCAGGATCGGAGTGGAGCAGGCAGGACTCCAGCCCATACCTGCTTGGGATGCGGGTATCGCTGGTGGCAGCTGAACTCCTACCACCGTGCTGGTCCTGATGTTTTGTACTTTTTTCTTTTAAAATATTTATTTAAAAGTTGGAGTTAGAGAGGTCTTCCATCAGCTGGTTCACTCCCCAGTTGACCACAACAGCCAGAACTGCGCTGGTCCGAAGCCAGGAGCCAGGTGCTTCTTCCTGGTCTCCCACGTGGGTGCAGGGGCCCAAGGACGTAGGCCATCTTCTGCTGCTTTCCCAGGCCACAGCAGAGAGCTGGATCAGAAGTGGAGCAGCCGGGACTAGAACCGGCGCCCATATGTGATGCTGCTACTGTATCTGCTACACCACAGTGCTGGCCCCTGTATTGTACTTTTTAATCGAAAAAAGGAACCATGGGGCTGGCGCCGTGGCTCACTAGGCTAATCCTCTGCCTGCGGCGCCGGCACACTGGGTTCTAGTCCGGTCGAGTCACTGGATTCTGTCCTGGTTGCTATTCCAGGCCAGCTCTCTGCTGTGTCCCGGGAGAGCAGTGGAGGATAGCCCAAGTGCTCGGGCCCTGCACCCCATGGGAGACCAGGAGAAGCACCTGGCTCCTGGCTTCGGATCAGCGTGGTGCGCCGGCCGTAGTGGCCACTCTGGGGTGAACCAACAGAAAAGGAAGACCTTTCTCTCTGTCTCTCTCACTGTCCACTCTGCATGTCAAAAGAAAAAACAAAAACCAACCATGGGATCAGCAGTGAAGACACTAAACACTGGTGCATCCAGTGGAAAAGCAAGCTTGGGGTCCAGATCAGCTTGTTCTGGGCCCACGGTCCCGCGCCCCGTTGCCCCGATGGCGTCAGATGAGCCCTCGTGCGCCGGCCCCTTCTCAAGCAGGTGACTCTGGTCCTGGGAGCGTCCCTGGCTGTCTCCTGTGGAAAGCCAGCCGCACACCTGCTGCTTTTAAGGTCGATTTATTTGGAAGGCAGAACACGAGACCAAGGAGATCTTGCATCCACTGGCTCACTCCCCAGAGGCTCTCAACAGCCAGGGCTGGGCCAGGCCGAAGCCAGGAGCCAAGGACCCCATCCGGTCTCCCGCGTGGGAGTGGGGTTCCGGGCCATCACCTGGCCTTGCTGGATCTGCAGTGGAGCAGGGCGTGGTCCGAGGTGGCTCGCGCCCAGGAGAGGATGGCTGAAGAAAGTGGAGATAGTGTAGCTGCAGGGAAGAGTTAGGGAGACAGCGGAGGGAGCCGCTGAGGTTGGAGGGGCGCGGGGGGCCGGCGTGGGGGGCCGGCGCGGGGGGCCTGGGTGCCCGTGGCGCCCGTGGCTCGGGCTCCACAGCTGACAGCCTACACACCAGCGCTGCAAAGTGAGCTTTCTACTAAAAAAAAACAATCCTCCGCCTGCAGTGCCATGTCCCACGTGGGCACGTTTCTAGTCCCGGCTGCTCCTCTTCCAGTCCAGCGCTCTAGTGTGGCCTGGGAAAGCAGGGGAGGATGGCCCACGTCCTCGGGCCCTGCACCTGTGAGGGAGACTGGGAAGAAACTCCTGGCTCCTGGCTTCGGATCAGCTCAGCTCCAGCCATTGCACCATTTGGGGAGTGAACCAATGATGGAAGACTTTTCTTTCTGTCTCACCCTTCCACTGTAACTCTGCCTCTCAAATAAATAAGTAAATAAAGAAGTAGAGCAGCCGGGACGTAGACGGCAGTCTGATCTCGGAGGCCAGCCTCACCAGCGGCAGCCCCTCTGCTCTGCTAACCGCGGATCTTGGCCTTCGCTTGGGAGCTGATCGTG